CCTCAAGTTATAACCAAATCCAGCAGCCGTACAGGCTTGTGTCTGGGAACCATCTGACACCAGCCGCTCCCAGAGGCAGGGTGCACATGGCCATGCATTTGATCCACCATCCCTATGCATCTAGGAAATGAGGATAAATCACAAATCACCCAACATGCAGGGTTCAAGGTGAGCCCCAGCGAGGTCTGGGCCCGTCGCTCGCGAGCCCGGGGCTACACCAGCTCCAGCTGAGTGGACTCAGGTCTCAGCTGGACGCTGTGGCATTCCCAAAGCCAATTCTGGCAGGTCGTAACACCAACAATGCCTAATGCAGGAATCATTCACCGGAGCCTTTCAGAGCAACCAGCTCAAACCCACACCCAGAAGGGAGCAGGAGACCTGGGAAAGCAGAAAGCCCGAAGGACCTTCCAGCGAGCACCTACTGCAGCCAGCGGAGAAACTGCAAATGCAACGTGGGGGTCCTGAGCACGGGCTCTTGTTCTTAATCACTGGGACCCCAGCCACGCCGAGGCAGCAGAAATCCTGGCCAGCCTACGCTGAAAAGCAACAACCAAACTTGGGAGCATTCAGGAAATTATAGACGCACAAGTCTGGGCCACTGCCATCGACAAGATCCTGGAGGTACTGATAAGATACAAGATCACAAGCCATCTGGAAAAATACAGGCTGATGAAAACTTCTTTGCTTAGCTCCATGAAAGCTAAAGAGCCTGACAAATATGGTGGCTCTTTTTTTTTTTTTTTTTTTGAGAAGACGACCCACGGGATTAAGAAGATTAAAGTGACTAATATGACATAAAAGAAGGCCTCAAATTGCTTAAGGTATGGCAGAGATGCTAATCTGGGCAAAGCGGTTCAAACTAAGCAGGAACTGAACCACATCATGAGCCCCAAATTGAAACACACTCAAATAAATGGATTTTTGTGGTTTCAGATGCCTTTTTTCTGCCCCAGTGTAAATCCCCTCTCTGACTGTGGTGTTAGTTCCAAAAGATTCACTTATGCACATACACACACGCATCTGGTAAGCCGTTGTAGCTTCCCTGTTCTTCAAAACACCCTCAACTTGACCATTTTCTTAGGATAAAACATTCTGGCCAACAGCCCAGTCTTAACCCTGCTTCTGCTGCAGGATCATCACCCAATTCACAATTCTCCTCTGCCTGAAGCACGTGCAGCCAAAACCAGTAAATACTAAATGAGATAACAAGGCTGAGGACACGCCAACTTTTCAGTGTGTATAGGAGGCATCTTCAAACTGTCACAGACACATCATGGATCCACCCTTACAGTTCTTAAACTGTAAAATCTAACACTTAATATTACATAAGTTTTGACATATAGTATAATTCAAATGAGCTTATAAGTCAACAAGGAGGCTGACAAAACACACCCTGTAAAGCAAGACTATTTTGTGAGGGCTAAGACCTACACAGCAAATGTCTGACTCAATAGCCAAAAGAAACTTTGCAAATCACAGACAACGTTACAGAGCAGAAAATGCATCAAAGACACGCAGGGGACCTGGGGTGGTCGCTGGCTCTTCCCCCCTGCCCCCACTGGGAGCCAAGAGTGACACTGGGAGCTGTAGTAGCAGCACAGCTGGTGGCTGGTGTAAGGCAAGCTTCGGAAGAAAGAAAATCTTGTATTAAATCAACTGATGTATGTGGAAAAAACAGACATATTTTAGGGAGCACCAACCCTTCTTCAGGTCTGTCAAACCTCACAGCCTTGCCTTGCCTAGGCCAGCTTTCCAGGTTTCTTTAGCGTGCTTTTAACCTCCACAAACCTCTTCTGCCAGCACAAGCTAGAGAGCTTTTTCCACTGTTTAAGCGGAATCTTTTTTACTGCTATTTAAGCTCATTATTTTTTTGCCTTGTCCAGCATGGCCTGTTCCCTTAACCGTCGTGCACAAAGCTAAAAATTATCAAGTCCTCCTTCAGCTTTCTCCTACTTTGGTTAAGAAACCAGATTTTCTCAATTTGAGTCCTTTCGAGGGATGTTGGAATGGCAATTCTGATTTGAATCAAAGCTTCACCAGTACCTTATCCTGGTATTAGCTCGCAAAGGGCGAGGAAGAGAGCTGTAAGTGAGGAGTGCAAGAACAGAACAAGCAGACAGCAGTAATTTCCCTCCTGCCCTCCTGGTTCCTCCATCTGTGGCTCCGTTTCCAGCGTCAGGGGTGGTATTATCTCGATAACCCTAGAATGGCTCTAATCCATGAATTTACCTAATCACTTTTGAAACCAGTTACCCTTTGAGCATACTTAATGTACTGTAGCAATCCGTTCTGCTGTTTAATTACGTGTATCTCATTATGTGTTAAGAGGTGCCTATTTTGTGTATTTTGAATTTGCTTCCTGGCAACTTCATCACATGTTCTCTAGTGCCGATATCTAGTGAGCCACTACTCCCAATTAATCTCATCAGTCATTCATGATATTGCAAATCTCTATCAGCTGTCTCTTTTCCAGACTACAGAGTCCCAGTCCATTTTTCTTCATATGGAGGTCTCTGATTATCCTCATACTCCCGCTACAGGTCTCCTCTGTCCTTCAAGACGCAGGCTCCAATTAATGCAGACAATGATATAACGATGTCATTTGATGTATCCATTTTTCTTAATAATTCTTCTCCTGTCCATTTGCCTCTTTGTCGGCTGCTGAGCACTCAACTGAATGTTCTCTGTCTTTCTGCAGGGCAGGGGCTCTGTATTTGGAAGCCCTTGAGCAGCCCCTTTCTTTTACTCCCGCTGCTCTTGATAGCAGTGCCCCCACACTGGGCGGGGGCCGTGCCAATTCTGGACGTACCCAAAGGCACCCAAGCTCCTTCTGTCCTCCTCACCAGTATGCTGTCCTTTCGGGGATGCCACCCGGTCCCAGCCTTCAGCAATAAGGACTCCACCACATCCACAAACCTGCCTGCCCAAAGCTCAGCCGTCGTCGTCACGAGAAATGCAAGCAGGGGTTTGAATTCTGCTGAAGGGAACAGGATTTGGCCCAGCGTTACTCAGCAATTCTTACAACTGCCACGAGCCCTCCGTTGACCTGGGTGCGAGCTGCCACTTGAAAGCCCAGGAAAGGCATGACTAACAAAAGGGTTATTAGCACACTGCTGTGGTATTTTCTTGCAACACGTTTTGCCACTTCAAGCACTTTGTTCCATGGCAGATTGCTCTGAAGTGCCTGTCTTTTCATATTTTCCATGTTTGACACATTAAATTTCCAGCTCAAACTCCTACCTAACCAACATAAAATTAGCCACCTGTGTATATGAATATTTTCTAACATTTTTTTCACTATTTTCTAAACATCCTCTTTGAAAAGTAAAACAGATACATCTGAATGGGCCTTTGTAGTGTGTGGGAATCACAGAACTCCAATAACTGTAAGGTTTTTGATGGAACTGTGTGTGTAATAACTGAAATATTAACAAAGCTGTCCCCTGCGTAATGAGCCAGACTGCATTTCTTCAACATATTTAGAATGAGTCACATAAATCTCCTGTTCTGCACATGTGTCCCCACTCAAAAAATTTCCCTAAGAATGCTAGTTGAGGATTTTCAGGAAATTACAATAGTTTGAATGAATTTAGAAACAGTCACATGCTTAGAGCATATCATAATAAGTACTTCAGAACAGAAAATGAGCAATACATTTAAAAATACTCAACATTTTGTATTTGATTAACGCAAGGTCATAGCGTTCAGCATTTCGAAAGCCAGATTCTGCACTCATGTTTCCACTGTAATTTTAGGAAACAAAATTTTTACCATTAATTCTACCAAAGTACCGTTTCAAACAGTAAACCTGGAATTTAAGATATTTGGAAATTCTTCAGAAACTTCAGCTTTTAAAATCTATGTAGTTGTACACTGTTTGAGTGGAGGTCGTTTTTCAACTTCTTGACCACTGAAAAAGTAAAATATTTTCTCAACAAAAGTTGATATTTGATGGGCCTGAAGTTATGTAGTATTAGATGACGACGTTTTAAGTGACTGCAAATAAATGTAATTTATTGAGTCAGCTTACTCTGTGGAATCAGTGTGGCCCACTGAAGGCAGAATCGCTCACGACCACCAGTGCGTGGCCAGACGCACACAAATTCGTGTTAGGGGAAGCGACTGCTGCTCAGTAGGAGCAAGAGGCTCCCAACCCGACCTAAAGCGTTTACTTCAGAGAGGAGCATCAAAGGCCCATCTCGCAGTGGATCGCCCACCCCCCCCCCCCAGCCTCACCAACCCAGCTTTCTCGCACCCTTGATGAAAGCAGAAAACATGAAACGACCCCAGGGAAGCGGTGAGATAGGATCCAACCCAACCCGAAGCACGGGAGATCTCACTCAAGGAGCTCTGTGCTGACCCGAGGGTCCTGACCTGCTTCATTTCTGGTGCATCTTCTAAGGCAACTGATGCAGCGATATCATGGTTACGAGGAAAGAGATATGGATCTGCTCTAGACCAACCCAGCAGGCCAAGGAAGAGGCTTAAGTACAAGCACGTGCTTACCCATGCGTGGGCGAGTCCCACCCGTGGCACGTGCGCTCCGTTGCGCCCAGCGCTCCACAACGGCCAGCACAGCTCCGTAACGTTCAGCCCGGAGCTGGGGGACGTTCCCCTGCCTGCCCGCCCTGCAGACGTGCCCAGAGGGATTGCTAGTCCAAGCCAACAGCCACGTCTCTTCAGCTCAGTGTGATGGTCCTGCCTTTTTCCCCACCCCGAGAGCTCGGGGATCGTTCCCTACGGCAGCCAAAAGGCAATCCTCACCCTAACCTTCACGGGAGCCTGGGGTAGGTGAGGGCTGCACCATAACCCCGAGGGATAACAATGACAGTCCTGGAAGAGTTCAAAACGCTCCACTTGGTGAATGACATTGTTTTATAAAACTAACGTTCCTCCCCATGCATGAGCTCTGTGCTAGAGGATCTTTGCTACCCTTTTGCTTGAACCCTGAGGACTTTCAGTGTAAAGTTCTCGTAATTGGAAAGGCTCAGACCTCTTACCTTCAATAACACACCGATCGGGGACTGGAATTTTCCTCCCCATCTCTGTGACATATGCTTTCACTTTACCCAGGTTTTCCTTCAAGTGCAAGTAGAGCTTGTCCTGGTATTCCACAGGGCTCGTCACTGCCTCTGCGCTTCCTTCGAGGGCCTTTTCTTTAGTAGATTCTGGCAAATTTGCTGATTCCGAGTAATCGATACTTTGGTGTGAAACCAAAGAATTTCCCAGTTGCATTGCTTCAGTATCGACGCTGAAAGACACTTTGTCATTTTCTTGGCTAAAGTAGATCTCAGTGAAGGAGATGCCAGCAGTTATCTCCCCGTTCTCCTCGTCCTGTCCGCTCTCTGAGTGTACCCCCTTCATGCGGACTGCATGCAAAGCGAGGCTTTTGGACCTGGAAGGCGATTAAGGAAAGGAAAAAAATGCTTTGGAATAGAGGCAAGACACAAAAATCACCCGAACACGTGCTCTTCCGAATTACCTCTGTGCAGCTGGCTCGGGGAGCTGATTGCGGGGCTCACTTAGCCCGAGGCGAGTATCTTTTGATAAATATGCATTTCAAAAGCCAAACCCAAGCCACAACTTTAATAAGCAAATTAAACTAAATAATATCCATATATCACCACATCTGCGTGCCATGGAGGGAGCTAGTCAACCTATCTGCAAGAAACATTTAACCCCAGGACTGGGGTATATGCTTTATCGATCACATCATAAAAATGCCATCCAGCAGCCATTTCACTGAACCAAGATTCAGCCTCCAGTTCTTCACTGCCCTGTACCTATACACCGAGGATGAAGCTAAGCCCCCATAGGAGTAAGAAGGGTAGAAGGGAAATGACTGAAAGGGCAAACACTGAGGACACCGTGGGTGCACGATGCTGTCTGAGCCCTTATCTCACCCAGGGTCCCGGGAGTCGCACTCTTCTCACACAGCACGTGGGCAAAATTTGATTCAAATGTCTGATATGTATTGTCAGCAATAATACCCAAGAATGGTCTCTGTATCCTCCTTTCCATCTAATATCCGTATGCAACTATTTTCCTCTCCCTTGTGCTGTTTTAGGGCACAGAAGAGATTAAATAAATAATTTTGAAAGATTTTATCCAGCCTTTGAATTCATGGATATGAGACTTGGTTAAAATGAGACTTATGATGCCCATAGGTATCATGCAAGCAGACCAAGTTCTCAATGTTTGGATAAAGTTTTATTACAAAACTGATATTCATGAAAATCACTCACACTTTTTACAGAGCCATACCTGTTAAATCTCATATCCTTCCTTTCTTCTTTAGAAACCTGTCCTAAACTGTATCTCCGCACTGAGCCAGGAGTACTGTTGTCGACATTTATTTTCTCTTCAAAAGCCTGTATTTTAACTTGAAGCTTCCCATCTTCATCATTTCCACTCATAACAGATTTTAAATCATCCAGTGGCACGGGAGATTCTGTTTCCGTATCATTTTCTGTTCTAAGGAATTAGAAAGCAGAGGTTTAACTCTGGTACGCTGTGTTCAAAGTGATGCTGATGCTGCAATTCCTGCCTGTGACCTGTACTATGTATCTGGTAAAATAATCACGTTTCAGCAGAGATTCTCCTAGAGGTTGATTAATCATTTTCAGAAACATTTTCTAGATCCATGTCTCTGTCAGATGGACCAGAAACATTGAACATATCTGACAACACTGGATTAGAAGCTGCATGTGCTATATCTACATAAGCAAAACCCAACTCTTTCCCTGACAGCCCCATAGCAAAAGTTTTTCAACTGAACTTAAACCATTCTCAAGCTTGCTAAACAGTGGCTTATTACATTACTTTCATAAACCAAAAGTCAAACTAATTGCAGAGTTTATAGAAGTCTGTGGTTTTAAAGATTTGACAAAAGTACATGCAGTTCCTACTGAATTATTGTACTCTGAGTAAGAAAAACATCTTTTAAAACACAGCACATGGACAGAAATAGGCTCACGAAAAGTTTGAAGCAATGTGACTGACGTTCAGCAAAAGAGAAAATGAAGAGTTAAAACGAACTTTTAGGACCGCAGGGGAAGCTGTTTGATTTTAAATTGGATCGTTCCGTCAGTCTTAGACTATGTAACCTTTCAATGCAAAACTCGAAGATAGCTTTAAAATAAATTGAAGGGAAGCTGTTAATTGTAAAGGACAAATATCCTTCAGATATTGGGCCATTTGCCAGAAACCAAAACCTTGGGTGTCTGTCCTCTCCCTTGAGCAGCAGTAGCAGGACTGAACTTCCCAGGGCACCAACAGCACACGGTGGCAAAAGCACAGTTGCCCCTTCCCCTCTTCCTCAGGGAGGTGCCTTCTGCTGAGGATTTGGATGTTCCCATCTTATTCCTGCAACTATGGAGTAACTGGACCAAAAAATCATGAAGGCAATACAAAGACAATCAGAAACCTCTTAGAGAATTAAGGGGCATTTGACGGTATTTATTTTGTAAACTCTACCCACAGCTCTAAAACAAGCTCATTTTGTTTCTGACCATTTCTTTGTTGTTTTTGGTTTTTTTTTTTTGGTTGTTGGGGGTTTTTGTTGTTGTTGTTTTGGTTTTTTGTTTTGTTGTTTGTTTTTTTTTTTTTTTTTTCTCCTGATGAGCAAACATCTGAAGAGCTAAATCGGTAAAATATGGATATGGAAAGCCACAAATAAGAGTTTTAAGACAGCAATTTCAAAGCAGCAGAGTCTCAACAAGTCATGCTCACAGTCGGGAAGCCTATTAAAAACTCCCAAATACTGCAAATTACCAATTGTGGAAACAAAAAAGCATGTTTAAAAAAACCCCAACCACTGGTACTGCATCACAAAAAGCACTTTTTCATTTGTTTTGATAAAGGCAGTTCAGGATACTTCTCAGGGGAGTTGGCAGGTTTTGTCTTGTTTTGTTTTTAATTTAGGCAAGATCTCATAATATATTAACACTGCAGAACACTTTGAAAAAAAATATTCTTCTGTAATAAAGAACCTCGGTATGACCTTTACTAACAAATCTTTCTGGAGATGTGGGACAAGATTTAATTTATTAGAAGGCTGTCACTCCAACATAACTCTCAACACTGCTCCCATTGTGGGAACTAAACGCTAAGAAAAATGTCTGTTACATACGTAAACACATATAAAGCCCTCTGGCTACAGAGAGGGGATTGATGGACTGATGGGGTTTATGAATGACAGACCCAAACCAGCAAGTCTTGATGATGTTTGGAAATAAAAATGGCCTTTTTGTCCAGCATCCTCCCGTTGAGCTCAGATGGCTTTGTGAAGGAAATACCAGAAAACGCTTCTGCTAAAGAAACACATCCATGAATCCGATTTGCCACACCCAAAGCACCCCTGAGTTCGCGCAGGCGGGGCTCGTGGCTGCCCCTGGTGCTCCTCAAGCCACCCCCGTGGGTCTGACCCCGTTGGTGTCCCCAGGGGACCAGTTGCTCTCACGTGTACCCGCTTTGCGCTCGCATCAATTCCCGGGAAGCCAAAAGCACATACCCCAAGCAAAATGTTCAATGGAGCCTCCACCCCACGCCCAGCGGGACGCCTGGCAGGCCTTCCTGCTGGCCTCCCCTTCCAGCAACAGTAAAATAAACTATTGTTTGAAATCTTGGCAAGAGACGTTCGGTACATTGCTGAGGTTGCTGGAGCTGGATCAGCTTACACCAAAGCTCAGGCTCTTTTCAAGAGGAAAAAGGATGCACAAACCTATCGAGAAATCATAAGGACCTGGCTTGCAAAGACAGTACTATGCCACTCATCGTTTCACTGCTTTTATATTCTCTGTAAAAAAAGACCTAAATATACAGGTCAGCGAGTCAAGAGCGAGACATTAATTTGAGAAGCATTTCTCCAGACCACCAGCACCATTATCAACACCACCAGTCAGGTGCTTAAAATGGGAAAAAGAGGATACATAAATAGAAATTGCTAAAAATGCACTCGAGGTGGGACAGCTTCCAGGGCTTCAACTCTGTGTGGATGGAGGCAGCACAAATGGATCGAGTGCAGGTCCTTGTGGTCCATCAACGTCCAGACATAATCACCTCCTCAACTACAATGGATGCACAGGTTTGAAGAAGGCAAGTGGTGGGTAGCGATGGCGATCTCGAAACCTCCGGCTCATGGTTGGGAAGCCCCTCAGGAGCTGCCAAATATTGTTAAGGAATGGTCGTGGAATCAGCAGCAGCCAGATAAGGTTCGAGGCTGAGGTGCCACGGGGAGCTGGAGGCTGCATCCCCCGGCACTTCGCACGCAGCCTCTGCACTCATGGGTGCTAATGGTGGAGGCCAGGACGTTCTAATCGCTGATTTAAATCACACCGTAGTCCCTTAACAACACAGGAGAGTCTTAGATGCTACTCCAGCTCTCTTCACCACTACAAATTGGAAGGACAAATACTGTAGAAAATGAAAGGCAAATGAATGTTAAAGAGATGCTCAGTGGTGCCATGTGATAGATCTATCCTCTCCTTCAAGGAGAGGAGATCATTTCATACAGCTGCTACACTGCGTAGCGCTGCTATAGCCTGCTACCATCAGTTCTCACCCAGAACGAGGGCTTGGAAGCATCATTAAATTTTCTTTCATTTTTCCTTTCTTGCCTTCTTGTAAATGACCATGCTATACTTCTAGGTTGGATCAGTCTGATAAAACTCTGCATACGTTCTTAAAAAGCACCTCTGAGACTGAACAACTTGCAATTTTGTGACAGTAAGGGGCAACAGAGCGTCGCATGGTTTTAATTATACTCTGCGCTAACTGCATGTAAAATTCTCCGTGTCAGACGACTCCAAGCCAGCCATCACTCTAAAGAATCCGTTTCTTCTTATGTAAACACATGATTCTGGAAGGAATGGTTATAATCCAGCCACACATTTTAAAATCCTGTTTTCTTTTCTCAGCACAAATACTCTGGATTGCTGCTCCTTAAAAAACGCTGCAGTTCAGTAACTGCAGCGGCTCTGGAGCTAGGAGGGTATTTCCACGTTGACGTCTGGACCAGCCCTACTCACGCTGGTACAAGTCAGAATAAACTCCGCTTAAATCAGCGGAAAATCCTCATTTTAGCCTTAACTGCTGCACCATACTTGTTCTTGTCCAATTTAGCCGATACTTGGCTCGACACAGGCCTGAAATATAAAACCAAATACCTAAAAAGTATAATTATGAAAAAATCAGTGTTTCACTGTGATCTCTCACGGCCACGCTGAGATAAGATGATGGTAGCTGCGTGCAACCAGGGTCACAGAGGATTTGGGGGGGGGAATAAAATTTTTAAAATAAAAATAAAAAAAAAAAAAAAAAATCAAGCAGCAGAGGGAGAATAAGTCATTTCAGAGAGGTTTGTTTGAAAGGGTGCAGGTCCCACTGCTGGCCCGAGGCAGCGGCGCGCGGGGCAGACCCGGCTGAGGCAGCCGCGTCCCAGGACACCGTTCCTTACTCAGGGGAGCAGCAGGGACGGGTTTTCCATCGTTCCTTACTCAGGGGAGCAGCAGGGACGGGTTTTCCATCGTTCCTTACTCAGAGGAGCAGCAGGGACGGGTTTTCCATCGTTCCTTACTCAGAGGAGCAGTGGGGACGGGTTTTCCATCGTTCCTTACTCAGGGGAGCAGCAGGGACGGGTTTTCCGCCCCTTCGGTTCTGGCTACACTCACGCCCGCCTCGTGGCGAGCCCGGCTGCACCCCCGGGGCCTGCCCCCTCTTCTAAAAGCACCAATTTATCCACAGAAATGTTAAAAACCGCTAACAACAAAACAAATCAGCGTGGAGGAATGTCTATTTTAAGTGCCTTCCACTGCAGACGTAAGGCCAAACTCTGCCCTTCCTTAAAGCAGGATAAACCCTGAGCAGCTCCCCCGCAGCCCTGGGGTAAGGTGGGTGCATTCTCATGGCCTGCCCCTACATTTTCCCCTCCAGTCTGGCCCCCTGGCCACTTTCATACTCCAAAGACAGCTGTTCCATTTTCATTCACTTAGATGCGTAGCTGTGTTCAAACTTGTCACTCAGAAGCAAATACAACTTAAACAAGAGACCAAAGCCTTTTCCTTTCATGCTCCGTATAATCAGTAGAGTTTTCTTCCCGAAGGAAAACGACGTTTTCTGAAAAACCCACTGAAAAATATTATCATTTCCATCCTTCTCTCCCCCAGACTCCCCCCTCCCAAACAGTATTTTGCATCCGTAACCACACTCACACAGATGAAGAAGCTTCTACTCCTCAGCAAAGCAAGTCCTTAACAAAGGGGAATTTTAGAGGGAAATGGGAAAACACAGCAACAACATTTTAATGAAAACCTTTCCTTGTTTTTTACTGGTTTTTATCAGCTCTAGAGAAAAGTGTTAAGCACAGAAGATAATCAGGAATAGGAATATCACAACATTTTAGCAAAGAAAGTAATTTTTCTACCACGAATCCGGGGACCACGATGGTCTGCATGAATAATTATTATGCTTTGTTACTGAAGCCTCGCAATTCCTGTCCTGCTCCGTTGCAGTTCCCAGAATACATGACATCCTTCTGATCCCCTTCACTAAGTGACATCTGGCGCACTCTTCTTCACAGCTGAACTTGACTGGTTTGGAAAACGTGTATGTCATTTCATGCTCACTTTGCTATCTCCACAGGCTTTTTCATTATTTTCAGTGAAACTTTTCATAAAATGACTTCTGAGGGCTCGATTTCAGCTGAGGTTTCTGCCACCAGGTGAAGTTCAGACGTTTCCTACAGCCTTGTTGTAAAGTGAGAGACTACATCAGGGTTCCTTTCCTTTTTCATTTTTAACTCTCTCCAGGATACCAATTAATTGTTTCTCAAATGACCTCAATGTTTTGGCTCCAACTCTACAAGTCTGTCTCCAAGGCTATCCTTCATGGTTATGAGTTTTCTGACATCTGTGTTACATTTTTTTCAAAGAATTACTATTCCTTTGTGCCCTCTTGACCTATTTCAGTATACACAATGCTAATTATAAGTCTCTTCCTAATTAAAAGTGACTACCACCATATATCTAAATAACACTTATATTCTTACTCTGACAAATGCAGCAACGCTTCTACTGCTTTAACCTTAGAACACACATTTAAAAGAAGCTGAGTGAGCAGAATGTCTTTTGTACAAGCTTGAGAAATTCTTTTCAGACTTTTTTTAGCAAACCTTTATCAGGGAGCTATACCAGTCATCGTTCTCATCAGCTTCAGTCGTTATCTTCTAGAATAAACTCAGTGATAATTGTGTAGCCTGACTTCACCGATTTATTTTTAACCGAAGCTTTTTAGACTGCCTTAGTCTACTTATCCAAGACATGGATTTTTTCCTACTCTTTAAGTGCTAAAACTTGAAGAGCTTCTTTATTCTTCACTGCCAGATGACGCAACTTCAGCTGTGTAATGTTCAGAGGTCATTCTGCCTGGTAGCATGAAGCTGGTCTCTGCAGTGCACCTACAGCTCTTACTTTAATTACAGATTTCTGCTTTAGTGTCAATCATCTTTATGCTTGCATCTGAAATGCATACCTCAAGTTACTTCTACAAGCAGGGATATGTTGCCCATCAGGTGTCTGTAAACTATTTTGTATGCGAACCCCACCCTATAAATAACACGATCCAACATCTGAGTGAGTATATACTGGAATGATACAGCAGAGATATCAAGATCAGTATGAAAATAGCAATGTAGTAACGTGTAGGAACTGCAGCACATCCATCTTTCAGTTGACTGGTCATTCATTGCAACTTGAATATATTTTTCAGTTGACTGGTCATTCATTGCAACTGGAATATATTTAGTATAAATTTATACTGCCTCACACAGCCACAGAGATGGCTGTGGCTTCATCACGTGAAAACTAGCTTTACCTGGCTCCTGATGCGTCGTTTTTCTCTAGCTGTCGGACGAGGAGCTTGGCTATGGCAGTGAAACTGTTGCTCATGCGGTAGATATCTCTGCTCTGAGTGCCCAAGATGCTCGAGAAGGTGTCAGTGAGACTCTTAATTTCCAGCAAAAGAATATGGTGAAACGAGTGCTCCATATTGGCCAGCTGGTTCACTAAATACATCAGACATATTCTGGCGCTCTCCTACACAACACAAGGAAAGAACAACAGTTTTAAATAAATGAGTTCATTGTTTCCTTGTACAAAGAAGGTTTGTGTGCGTGCTGCTGATTAAACCATTGTCATTGGGGAATAGTGGCTACCCCACGATAACTAACAAAAAGGCAACTGCACCAAACAGAGTGTTTATTTTTGTGTACTACTGATGTTACATTTATTCCTCTTGGTATTACCTAACTTGGCCCAAACTCAGTACACCTTGTGTCCTCCTCCAAACCTAGAGTCAGCGTCCCTAAAGCACCTCTGAAGGGCCCTGCGCTGCTCAAGGGTGTTAGATCAGCCTGGCTGAGTGCCCAGAGCACCAGCAACAGACCTAGCTCCCCCTTCCACCTTTGATGAGCCTTGTGAGCCTGGCCAAGCTACTTCACCTCCCCATACCCAGTTTCTGTGCCCTTTCTTTGCTTTATTCTCTGCCGTTTCTCTCGAGAAGGGCCAAGCGCTCGCGCACGCTGCTCCAGTTCACAGGCTCTGCTCCCCCCAGGGTGTTTTTCCCCGTGTCCATACCCGGCCCGGTGCACACTGAGCTCACAGAGGCATTAGCACGGACACGAACAAATTCTAACCTGCCGGCAGAGCTCAGCTCAACAGACCCTGCGGCTCAGGTCTGCCCTGCTTGGTGGCACTGCGTGACCCATGACTGTCTGTGCTTCTGCGCCTTCCTTATGGCCTCAGTGTATTAACAGGCTAAGGTCCAGAATTTTGGCTTTGTCCCTCTTACTCTCCACTCCATAACTGCAAGTAATCAAGGGTCACCAGGCGATTGCAGTGAATTCTGCGTATGCCATTAGCTGTTACAAATACTCCGCCAGGAGCAAAGATCTATTTTTCAGACCATAAAACACTCCCCAGTCACGACTTCCCTTTCTGGACCTGTTGAGTGTTGCTATATTTAGCAGTGTCACCTAAGAGCCTGTCGTCACCGGTGCTACCCAGCCTGAGCAGGGCTCTTCCAGCAGAGCCTCGGCAGAGGAGCGAGGGGACTATCAGCATCTCCTCTCGCTAATGGCGAGAGGTTAAAGTACCTCGTAAATCACAGGGGTTCTCTCCTTTCACAGCAATTCATTTAGGAGCAACACTCAGATTAGAGCTGTGACTAACGCTGCAACAAAGAGAAGTTCAAAATGAGATTTCATTTTAAGATCTCATCACACGTGATAAGGCGCTGTCTGGCAGCCGTATCAATCACTGAAGTCTGATATGCCCTCTGTAGCCAAAGTTTTGCTGGTCAATTTTCCAGGGGGATGCGATCGCGCCAATTTATCAGCAAGATCACATCCCCCACAAATTAGGATTCAAGGGCCTGTTTCAGATCATGATATTAAACATGCAAATATTTTCTAGCAAAGCTACTTTATCGCCTCTGCTTGGCAAGGGCACACAACTCCAGTTCCAACTAGTTCTGTATGTACGTGCACATATTCACATATTGAAACAGAAACCGCAAAGGTGAAGAAACACATTAGGATTCCTCTGTTTTAATTGTTCTAAGTGTATCAGGTTCCACAGTCCTAAAAATAACTAAGTGGGAAGAGCAGCAGAGAAAGTCACAATTAACTCAGGAGCTCACACCAGATCCTCCGCTCGGGTAACTGGGTATGGTTCTGCTCAGTGAAGCCCACTTGAGACTCAGCGGATTGTTACAGAAATTGGATGATATTTTGCCTCTAGAGCCTGTGCTGAAATGCAAACAATGGCAAAAATAAAAAATCCTCTTCTTCCCAAGGGTTAGCAGAAAAGGAGGAGAGGTCGTGTGCCATACACATACTCCAAACACTGTGGGGCAATAACATTATTACCTCTTCTCTTCTGGGACCTCGTAACGGGAGAGAAAAAATTGCTGAAAGTTTGATTCCAAATGCAGCTGGGTCGTAAAAATACACGGGGGACTTCAGCAGAACATGGCCTGAGCATCACAAGCAAGACATTTTTGGAAGAAAAAGTCAACTTATTTCAAACAAAAGGGGATCTGCGACACCGCGCCATGACAGAGATAAATGAGAAAAGCGTATCAGACAAATTGCTTCCCTTCAGCCATATGGGGAAAAACTGCAGCTACATCCTCGGATGGGCTGGGACGGTGTGACGGAATGAGCTTTTTCCTCAATGGCTTGAAAGAGGTTGACTTTTTGGTACATATTCACTAGTTTATTTGGAAGACGATCCTCCCTCCAAGAGATAAACACAGGCTCAATTAACATTTAAAACACATTTTTGTTTCCTAAACAAACTGTGCAGCAGACGTAACTGGAAGAGAAGTTTTGACCATTTTCATGTCACTTTGATCCAGCTGGAGTGTCTCCAGCCATGCTGAAATGCTGCTACTCGCCTGGAGTGAGGTAAAAGAACAATAAACTTTACTGAGTAATATAATATGTAACTGTTACACAAAACAAAATTACAGCAAAATAGCTCAACATGAAAGCAGTCATTATCCTTGCCACAATTTTTACCCCAAAATTTTCAGAAAGCCTATTTGGATGTAGGCAACCCCTTGGGTTTTTTTAACAATGCTTATTTTATGTATTCATGTATTTTTTCATAAGGATCCTTTGCATTTTATGGCTTTACATCTGCCAGTAGGTGAAGATCTAAAATATAAATAACGAGGTGTGGCAAAGTATTTTGCTTTATCTTAAAATCAGGCTGAGGAGACTACAAAAAGGCTTTCAGAAGTAACTCTGACTTCCAGTGGATTCAAAACATACAGGTATTGGGGAAAAAACAAAACAAAACAAAAAAAAACAACAAAAAAAACCCTCACAAAAACGTTCAAATTGACCTATGCCCCAAGATGGTGTTTTGCTTTGCACAAATTTATGGTTAAGGGACAAGTTCTGATTTCAACTTCACCCATGAGACCGTCACTGACATCAACAGAAATGGTGTGTATAAACAAGGGGGCAACCGTTAAAATAAAGGGATCTCTTTTCAGCCAAAGCTCTCATCTCTCCAGGGGTCTGTCTGAACTGCCAAGGTGCAGAGAGCAGCTCAGGGAAAGCACGAGAGGCTGCTTCTAGAAACCAGCAGAAAGGATTTTCGGCTCCTATCTGCGATCTATACCCTAAAGGGCCAAGCCTCAATCCTTGCCACCCTCTTTGCCCCACGTAAACCTCTCGGTGAAATAAAATATCAGCAAAATTCCAGCGCTACCACCGTCATTTCATTTCCCACTTGCTTTGCTTGGCCGGGAAGGAGATGCTGATGCTGGTTCACGTCTGTAAGTAAGAACGAGCAGCGTATCTGTAACACGGCTCCGTTACAGGGAAAGGAAGAGGGGGAGAAGTGACAGCAGAGGCTTTGAGGAAGGCATCGCCACGGTGGGCTGCGGGACAAGGCCATCGGCAGTGCCTGTGTCTGCAGGGACCATTTTGCTGCTTGCACATTTCTACTTGGACCTGATCTAAATAAATTAACTGGCTGCAGCAATGCTTGAAACTTAGCAGTTACGCTCACAGATCAGAGTATTATTTTAATTCTTTCTTGTGGGTGCGCTCACTTATATACTGAGCCTTTAAGATCTGTCCAGCTTTTACGGTGCCAGATGTGTTTCTGCTTATTTTATCACAGGCTGATTGTCTGCATTGCAGTGAGTCATGCCCCATACATCAGAGAAACCCATGGCACTACTTTTTTTTTTTTTTTTTTTCTTTCCTTTCAAAAAGCCTGATCTGCATGGGAGCATGAAGAGACACGACCCGTCTCTTGGCTCACGATAGGGTGGGGGGTAAAATCAGCACAAGAAACCACCAGAATGAACAAAACAAAACCTTTACAGGGGAAAAGGAAGCCTATGAGAAATCCGCTGTGTTACTAATCACACAAGAGCCACAGGGACCCTTCGGTCACCACGTCTGGTCTGACACAATTGTGGACCAATGAATGTCCCCCCAAAGTAGCTCCTCATACCCCTCCAAAACTGTGGGTACTCAAGTTCCCCGAAATAAAATGGAAAACCCTTTAGGGTAAAGAGGAAAAACTCACAAGCAGAAGGGGAGAGAAAGACCATCAGTTATAACATCTCTGAAGGGAGAGGGAACTTGTTACGTGAAAGCACGCAGGTGATGTGGGGCAGCAGACTGCATCCCACAGCACAAAAGAGGCAAAAGCCCCATGAAACAAAAGTGTTCAACATAGAGAAAATGGAAAACTTCCCCCACGTCTGCCTAAGCCTCCTCAGCAACTCCAGCATAGGTTTTGCTCCCAAAATGGTCACTAACCTTGGCTCCAGCCTGCAACGCCCAGCCACCACCCGAGCACATTTTAAGGCCCTTTCTGCATGTTTTATACCAGAGGGAACAAGCAAACTGGCAGAGTGGCACTGCCAGAAGCACATCCAAATCCTCCAGGAGCAACGGTGATGAATAGACACTGGTCCCTACCGAGAGAGAGCAGCAGTGCTGGCAGAGGGAGCTGCCAGGCTGCTCGCGGGCAGGGCTGGGGCACCCGTGGCCCTGCAGACGGTCCCCGAGACCCACTTGCTCCTCAGGATGCCCCAAAGCTCCTCTATATTATGCTCGGACCTCTCCTCACCTGGAAAGCTTGCCTTCCTTTTCCCACCAAGAGGTTCTCCCTGGCTTGAGGCACAGCGTTGAGAGGCTCTTTCTGCCACCCTGGCTCCTCTGCCCGGCACGGAGGAGACGGGACGGAGCGGGGACAACCCTCCGGAGCAGGATCCAGTGGGGACGTTTCACGGAGCGCGTAACCCGCGTCCCGGTTGTGGCCATCGGCGTTGTGCAAGCCTGGCACTGAGGTCAGGAGCCCCACGGACTGATAAGGCTCAAAGGTGATTGCAGAAAGAAAATCAAGTCACCGGAGCGCTGGCAACCGCTTAGACATTTCGATCAGAGCAGATCTTCCATAATTCAGAATTATTCATCTTTTCGGAAAGCAAAACGAGGAGAGGAGCGGAACCATTCGTCTCACTTTGGAAAACCCCGCTCTGCCACCCTTTGGGTGTTGCTTTTATCAATGTTTTTTGAGTATCTAGGGAAAGGTCTCCTGGATGTCACTAAAGCAGAGCCCACAGCAAACAAACGAGAAGTGTCCCATCTCTGCAAACACGCAGCGCTCGTGGCGGCAGAGTGGGCTGGAATGCAGACTGCTGCTACATCAGCAGCTTCTTAGAAAAATAAGACATATGACATGGGACGTAATGCCAGTTACTTATAAGACAGAGATTGGAGACTAATTATTCAATGCAGGCTTCCCCAAGCTGCACATGTAACACTTGGTAGCTACGTGTGTCTGCACAAACCAACAGATTAAAAAATATAAGGAGAAAATGTTCTGCAAATCACTTCTTTGTAAACTTTACTGTAGTCTGTAGTTTCCAACAATATATGAAATGCAACATGCCCAGTTGGTTCCTTGCTTGTTCTTGGTACTGATATAAATCAATAACAACAAAAGGCAAAATAAATACAGTCCCTTTTAAGTAGCAGAACACAGCAGAAAAGGGGCCTCAGACACTCACATGGGAAGAGCTGGTTCAACACACTAAAACACAGAATCTGAATTAAATCCTTAAATTCTGATCCCAGCTGTGCTCATTTGAGGATTAGCTGGTTATAACTTGTAAAGCTTATAGGAGATGTTGACTCTTAAGTACTAAACACAGAGCTAAATGTGGTCAGCTGCAGTTCTTATAAAGGTAAATTTTGCTCGGGTGATGTAAGTAAACGAGGAGAGAACAACAAAGTTCATTTAGCTCACAGTCTTCAACGTGATTTTGGCTTCCCCCCCACCCCAAAATAAGATTTACAAAGCCAAACCAAATCTGGGTTTGATTCTTATGAGATAAATTGCACTTTAAATGACTATAAAGCTCAAGATCAGCAGAAACAGCAAGCGTAGTGTCTTCCTGGGCCGTACCCACAGCGATCAGATGCCCGTTGACCAGCCAATCCACGTCAAAACCAAGTGCCAAAGGAGAAATAATTTGCCTTATTGCAACAAGTGAGGTGAGGCTTCACAACATCCATCCACTCTGGTGAACGGGAGCACGGAGGGGCTGTCCCCCCCTCTGCCTCCCACCAGGCTCCCCCACGCCACACTATCCACTTGAATCAGCGCGACCGCCTCATCTAAGAGTATTATCGAGACAATTCTGAATTATTAAAAAGGCTGCGCACAGGAAAACTTCCCCTTGCTTCTCACGTGTCTGGTTTTACCTCCAGCAACACGTAACGGGGCGTACGGCCCGGCGTTTGCCCGACGGGCCTGCACGAGGGCAGGCGAGGTGCCCCGAGGCTCGCGGCTGGTCCTTTGTCACCGAGCAGAGCCGCGGCACCGGGCACGGAGCCTGACCCCCCGACAACACCCCCTCCCGACACTTAAGGGACTAACTTTGGATAGAGGCCAAAAGAAACCATTATCTCCGGACACAGAAGCCTCTCTGGAGAGTCTCTGATGACCACTATCATCGGTGAAAGCACACCGTTATCTGTATCCACAAAAGTAAATAGAAGAACTGTCATCTTAAAGGCAGAAGAAGAATTTATACAGGATTTTCCCCCGCACAGCAAAACGACGCCACTTTTCTCCCCTCCTCCCTCCAAACTGGCCTCCAGCGGAGTCAAAGGAAGGACAACCAAAAAAGTCTGGTTTGGAGAGGCAGAACGCGCAGTGCAATCTCTAGCCTTTATGCAAACAAACTCCACTTGACTTAGTGCAAGTTTTGCCTCAAGGATCACTGGAAGGATGTGGAAACCGCGGGATTCAGCTCTTTACTGAAATAAATTATCCAGGTTACCGTATGGCTAGCATCAGTGCCACGCTTCAGCAAACGGTTAGATTCACGGCATGCCCTTCATTTTCTGCTACATAAACGAGTTATGTCGCAGCCATAAGAATCTGGATTATTTACCAGAAACTCTTTGATTTCGGCAGAACATTATTTTTGCCTTTACAGGACCATGATTTGAGGTGGAAGGAAAATGTCTATTAACAGTGGTGAAAGACACATAAGCTCATACCTGGGGGTGAAAATAAAATCTCATTAAAAATCATGACGTGTCGTAAGTTTAACCAGTTTGGTGTCCTCAGGACACCCAAGGTCTTGAGCAATCAGGTAGTTTACAAGCTCGTGGTGGTAACCTCCTCCAGGCTGGATTTTTAGGAGCAGGGGATAGCGGCAGGGTAAGACAGGTCTGGTTGGGGTGCAAGGGATTTCCCAGATCCAGCGGGACAGGGATCTTCACGAGCAGCATCCCTTGCTGCTGGGGAGGCAGGGCTCTTGGGGTTCCCATCAGAGCTGGTATTTTGGGGAGGGCAGAGGGCTCGGGGACCCGCGAGCTGCCCAAGGGTCTCTGTGCACACAGGGGGTTTGGGTCTGTTCGCGGCCCGTTATTAGGTGAGCATCGCTCCCGCATCCCGACCGCACAGCCACGACTAAAGCAAAAACTCCACTGCAAATTCATTACGCTGCCATGAAATTCCCGTGATTTTTTAGGAGTTTGTCCCCATAAATCCTTTTTAGGCATAATGTTCCCGTTGGGTCACATCCCAAACCAAGATGTTCCTGTGATGCGGCTTAAGCCCAGCATCACCACCGCGTGTTTTCATTATAAAGACATTTGTCTAAAGTATCCAATTAACTACAGCTACAAAGCCAAAATATCTGGATTATACTATACAAGGAAGTTCATATTTCACTGCATGATTACAGCATTCCTGAAGGCTATATGAATCTAAAATATAATACCATACAAAGGGTGTGCAAAGTATGTTTTTCTTTTTCTCTGCCTTTCATTTCACACATAGGTATATGGCAACCTGGCTTAGCTAAGTCCCCGGAATAACGACAAATATGTAGTTTTATCAAATAGGAGTTTTAGCCATTCCATAAAAAGACAATTCATATCAACAGAATGCATATGTGCACGGATGACATGTAATAATAATTTATATATTTATCTTTCTATTGATGTAATAATAATTTATATATTTATCTTTATAGTAATGTAATAAGCATTTATATGTTTGTCTTTACAACTATGAGAAAAATATTTATCTTTTTCATGCTTACTAATCTCTTAGAGAAAGTTTCTTTCTTTCCCACTAACCTGAAGCCCGTTTCTGTGGAGACCCTTTACTGTGCGACTGTTCCTTGGTTAGAAGAGTGAAGGGCAGTCTTAGTCACTAAATACCACGTCTGAGTTTTGTGGTACTTACTCTCCTATCCATACTGGTATTACAGTCTAGACATATCATGGTGTCCTGACCAGGAATATGTTCTGCTTGGGCAGTCTAGTTACTCACGAAGAAATGAATACTCAGATGTATTACTTTACACAAGATTTAGGAAAAAAAAAAAAAAAAAATCCATCAAACCACCCAACCCCCAAACCAATCAACTTCTTTTGTTTTTAAACTTACCTCATCGATATGTCCAACAGCTCCAAAGATCTTTGCTGTTTGCCCAATCAGACTTGGAAAACTCTCACCAATTTCCTTCAGCATCGGAAGAAAAGGGGCTAAGGCTGTTGGTTCATAGGTGGATATTTCTGTGAGTATGTTTAGAATAGCGTCGCTATGGTTAGGGTCTCTCAAGTGTCCAAATAGAGATGGAACACACTCTTTCAGCACCTAATAAAAAAATCAAACAGAAACAAATTGTGAATATATTTTTCAATTGGGAACACATATAACCAAAAGAAGTACGATACACTGGAGTGTTAAAAATAAAACTAAAAATAGTTTTCAACCCTTGCTTGACCTTTGCACAGAGCTATTGCTGAGGTCAATCAAAGTTCAGCTCAACATGTGGAATAAGGGTAAGCTGTAGCCCTGAAATATTGCAGTTATGCATATATAAGTAAGGAAATGCCCAACTGCTAAAAAAGACAAAAAAACCCTCACCAAATATTTCCCTTGCTCTGGGCCAGTCCTACACTTTATTGATTAAGAGAAGGTAAGACTTATCCTTCCCCAGTGATAAAGTAAATTAAAGTACTAGTAGAAATTTTTGGTTTCCACCAGAAACTAAATAACGTGACAAATTTAATAGCTGGAACAGAGGAAAAAATAAGAGGCAAATCCTCACTGCACAGAAAAACGCTGTAGGCAAGTTGTCATTTCTTGCAACAATTTTCAAGAGGCTGAGGTTGTAGCCCTTAAAATCATCTTACAAACAGGATGCAGAGTAAACAACTACCTACTGAAGGATTAGTTTTCATGTAAACACACAGGTACACTAATACACCCACCTCTGACTCAGTGAAACTGTTGCATCTGTGTAAAAGACATTTCAACACAGAAATGGGGCATAAAGTGACCCGTTCTGTTATTTTTTTGAAGATTACCTGCTTTAGCAAGTTGACACCTACCGCTCTGGCAAAATACTGCAGGTGGGTGGCTGAATAACTCGTCAGTAGTAATAAACGATATTAATGGTAATAATGAGAACACAAAACCTCTTCAGACGTGTCGGCTCCAGCGTGGAGCCTCGCAACAGCCAGCGGTGCACCCCGGCTCCCTCGGTGACACGTCCCTTCCTTCCCACGGGAGCTCTACTCCATCTGGGGCTGTGCACTGCGAGAAAGTTGCCCTGGCTACCTGGGGGACCAGCACTGACCACTGTTGCTGCTTCTTTTCCAAAGACTTTATGAATTTTGTAAATTCACAAAGCAGGTAGTTTTGCGCCTTGTCCTGATAGGTGCGGTCAGTGACATGCAATTTCCAAAGCATGGGATGTTTTGCCTTAGTTAACTAATCTCTGGCTCACTCCTAATCAATTCTGAACTCATTTTGATTTTCCTCGATATGTAATTTAATACAGTTCATCTGTTCTAATGGAAACACAGTTATGGGAATTCATACTCAGCTGACAGAGCAAGAGCCAAAAAAGCTGAAAACAGTTCTGGTTTAACACAAACATTTTGGTGCAGTAGAGTCATTGTTATGTTCTCTTTATGATTAGATGGAGAATTTGGAATGGAATTAAAGAATTCACAGGGAATTAGCGTAGGAAAGCACTGTCATGCATGTTATGGGACTCCTCACTGTTGGGAGAGCAGCTAGCAGACAGACCTTGCCAAGCCATCTGAAACAAATAAACTCCTCCGAAAGGAGGTGCAGCGTTTAAGCAGTAACGATCTTCCAAACACGGTTTTACCCCCAGTTCCTTTTTCCTGGCCACAATCTGGAGGAGCCGGAGGAGGTGGTGCTGTTCGGCCGGGTCCAGCTGAGCCATCAGTGCCACCAGCTCCCTCAGCCGGAGGTTTATCGGCCCCGGCCGCTGCTCGTACAGAGCAGGCAGGACCCGCAGCAGCATCGCGTTCCCTGGGAACAGAGCAGATGAGAGGCCGGGGACTTACTGCGTGTCCGTCCCCTGCAGCTGGAGAGAGCCCTAGAAAAATCAGCACACACACCTGGAGACACCAGTTTTCAAGAATCATCAGTACAAAACCAGGGAGGTATAAAACGCACCGCAGAAATATATACACCGGGCCAGGAGGCCCAATAAAATAACCTAAACAGAGTGAATCACTGGAGGTATAACAAAGTAGGTGCTAAAAAAAAAAAAATAATCCTATTAATTACAATTTTCATTCTCAAGTACGATATGAGAAGGTTGAAAAAAAAAAAAATCCTATTAATTACAATTTTAACTCTCAAGTACAATATCATGAGAAGGTTGAAAAAAAAAATCCTATTAATTACAATTTTAACTCTCAAGTACAATATCATGAGAAGGTTGAAAAAATAAAATCCTATTAATTACAATTTTCATTCTCAAGTACAATATCATGAGAAGATTGAAAAAATAAAATCCTATTAATTACAATTTTCATTCTCAAGTACAATATCATGAGAAGGCTGCTTAACGAGCTTTCAAATTTGGATGATACTCTGAGTCCTAGACCAAACTATGTGTCATTTAAATAAATAGATCAAAAAAAAAAAAAAAAAGGCTAGGAAGGACATAAAAGCTACATTTCTCTTTTGTCAAGATTCAGACTTTCAAATTAAATAAGCAACATATGGAAAGAATAGCTGGTTATTAAGAGAACTAAATATGCCCGACAGTAAATTTGAACATAAATAGTTAAGGATGCCATTTCCAGGAATAGAAAAGAGCCAGAGAGAGTCAACTGCAGACAGACAAAGATATGCAAAACCCTCTCACACATTTTCTTAAGATGTCTGTGCATAATTCAATTTGAAGCCCAGGCTCATACCAAAATATATAACTTCACATTGCTGTACATGCCTGCCTCAATATATTTAAGTTTCACTTGAGCAACATATGGAAAACATCTGCCTATTGCAACGTAGTACGGCTCCGTTTTGTAAACCCCTGAAAGTCCTTAAGGTCTCTTTGGATTTGGTTTCCAATAGGAACTAGCTCTCTGGCCTGCTGCTTTGGCTCCCATTTAAATCCCAGCCATGCAATTTTGGAAGATAAGCAGGTCACTTCATGGACGGCCGAAAAAAAAAAAGGATGTATGGGTTCAGACTGGACCCCATCGTGCTCTTGCCAGGCACAGAAAACGCACCCCAAGACACCGCGAGGACTTGCAGCATCACCTTTGAGCCAAATCACTAGCACATAATTCATCGCAGGCTCAGACAACTTTTAGTTGAGCAGCTTGTAAAGATCCCTAAGGGTCCCCGTGCGTCGGAGGAGCGCCTCCGCGCTGTTCGGCCGGCCACACCTCAGCACCCCATCCTGGAGTGTTTATTCTGCTTGAAGGATGGTCGGCTTCTCCTCGAAGGCCTCTCCGAGCCCTCTGTGCAACCCCTGCCGTGCCAAGGGCAAGGCTCCCACCCCACCTCCGGTCCCTTGGATGGGGCAAATTTCTGTCTTGTTTTGCTCTACGTATAAAACACAAAGGCCAGTTGCAAAGGAAAGATGTTTGCTGATGAATTACACTAAATAAATCTGTAAGCTGGTCAGGTCTGGCCATTTTCTACCCACGTTCTTTGTGCAAATCCCTTCCTGATGTTACAAGTCAGTCTGTAAAAAAGTGTCACTTTTTTTTTTTTTTTTTTTTTTTTTAAGTGTCACTAACGTACCGTGGGATTCATGAAAAGCACCAATTCACCCGAAGTTAGAACTGAAATGGCGAGAGGATGTATTTATTGAACTTTTCTAGAGTCACATCTGAGCCTGAAATTGAGCAATTTTGTAACCGAATACGCTAAAAATTATTTTCTTCTCCAGATAATTTAGTGCTTACAGAAATAAGTCCTTTCTTTGCACTTGCACATGTTTAGCTTTCACTGGAAGTTTTCTGCCCATATGGAACAAAGCCCTTAAGCTCCAGTTGGATTTCAGCAATGCTAACAATTGCAAAAGATGAAAATTCCCGTGTTCCTCGACAGGAAAAATTCATCTCAGCTGTAAAAGTGTGGAGGGAAGGAATTCAGCAGAGAGTAACAAAGACTGGCAGCTTTAAACAAGGAAAGACAGCCTCTAACCCGAGACCTGCTATTGCCTAAGCTGGGATGTCACAGATAGGAGGTATCTGGAAATTAAGACTAATTATTCAGTCTGAGAAAACGAGCATTTTAAGTATTGGATGTATTAGAGGAGTGATGCAATTTGACATGACACACGATGGTTTGCAGCCATGGAATTTCTCGGAACAAAAATACTTTGTACAAACGCAGATTTGGGCAGTTTCCTACAGCAAACATTGCTGGCTCTATATTTGCTAACCGAGACAAGTGAAAAGCAACGGCAATTTAGAAGCAACCCCATCGCTTTGGAGTGATATTTAAGTGACCTCACTGACACGGAATTGCTTTTAATTGAATAACCTGTGCATACAACCTTGTAAACAACCCAAGCAGATGCCGCAGCTTGTGCCTGTTCTCCACGTAACCTAAGAAAGGTCACAAAGTACAACCCAATTCACTACTTCCTCGTCTTTTCATGTTTCAAGCTAGCTCCGAGTCCCTTTTGCCATTTGTTTGTCACGCCTTTCCCGTTTCTACGGGATTCACGCACACGCAGCTCACCATCCTTTTGATTTGCAGAGCCTGGGCAAGTCAGAGGTGATATTGTGCCCGTTCCCAAGTAATTTGCTTTTTTCCATCCCTCTCAGTCTAAACAAAGAGCCTGAAAAGTATGTTTGTTGTCTGTGAACGGAAAAGCATTATAGTCAGCTTCTTAATTACCTTCTCTCCCCCTTCCTTCCTCTCCCACCCTTACCCCCAATACTTTCCAGATTGGATTTTCTCAGACTTTCCAAGCAGACCACACACTGGGAATTACACAACTCAGGCAGAGGCTCAGGTACAGTTGGGGACACTCGATGGCTTCGCGCCGTCGGCTGCGAGTCAGGCGGGGAGGAGGCGCCAGGTACAAGGGGAGCAACCCCGCCGGGGCGCTGCGCCAGTGCCAGCCCCCCCGGGCACGCTTTGCCGGAGCTCCCTGAGCGCACGGCGAGCACCCAAGGTCACCTTTGCTCTGCCCAACCCAGCGGCACAGAGAGCTTGTGAAAAAAAAAAATAAATAAATAAAAAAATTAAGAAGTGAGCCTGGTAGCACACCGCCAAGGTAACAGGGACTGAAGGAGCTCTCAGAGCTACGCGGCTGCGTTGGGACATTCGCTCCAAATTGAGTGTTCAAGGATAAAAGCCCACGCCCCGAGGCTAGTTATTTTTCCCCCCCCCCGGGATGACTCAAAGTTAGGCACATACCTCCCTGAAAACGTTCACCACTACTTTACCAAGCTTTTGAGGCTTCTAACGCATTGCTTAACACGTACTTTTGCAGGAGAGCAGCTGGAGGCCCCACAGTGGCAGGAACTCCCTGTACACAGAGGGTAAAAACCAGGGAGACACTTTGGCACGTGGGAACAGCACGGTACTGCGGCCAGCAGCCCAAGGGGCAGGTAGCCCAGGTTTGCACAAGCAAGGTTGGGTGCTGGGAGGCACCTGGTGCAGCAGCACCGGGCTCTCAGCAGCCTTCTGCGGCCCCCGGCACGGCGGAGGAGCCCCGGAGCACCCCTGGGGCGCACGGAGCCAACCCGGAGGAGCCGGTGGCTCCAGCCTTACCTGCCTGCTCGGCAAAAGGTGACACCTGGGAGGTGCCTCCCGGTTCCTGCTGTGGGACGGGGTGATGGCCGAGCCCCCGGACCCCGTCACGGCTGCCTCGTGCGGCCGCACCTCCCGCTCCCGGCCCGGGGGTCGGAGGCAGGAGGAGCAAGGGCAGGAGCACAGGGCTCTCGTTACACGCTCCTGCGTCCAGCGCCGAGGGGCTAAACCAAACTCACAGGGAAAGGGAACACAGATTGCAAGTTAGATGCAGTTATGTGGGTTAGGGTTTGTTTTTGTTTTTTTTTTTTCTCTGAATATTTCAGAGCCAGTATATAATTTGTACGACATTACCCCTAATCTCACCTCAGCAATGCATCTCTGAAATGATGGCCCATTGAACTGATGAGACATCCAGAACTGAAAACAGATTAACACCAATAACCATAATACTTAGCAGTAAACTAACGTGTAATCCAAGAGTGCCTTGTTTTGTTTTCTCAGAATTAACAGAAACAACTCTTATCGTGCAGCTGCTAATCTCCATGCTCCTGAAACAAGACACTATGTTAGCCACATAGTTATGACGTTGTTATTGGTAATTAGGGCTAGAAGAGGAAAATTCTAACAAGCTGTCTTCACGAGTTCTCCTTTATTGCTTAAAGCAGTAAACTGTTAGGATATAACAGACGTTTTTACACATAACTATCAAAAAAAGCTACAATATTTAGGTTAAACCACACACGCGTATCCAAACCAACCCTAGGTATGTTTATTTTTCTACCAATCCCCTCCAGAGCCCTGGCACATACCGACTACCAGAGGGGCTCGCAGAGCACACTTCCCTGTCCACAAATCACAGAGAGTGACACAACCGAGGCGGGCAGCGAACTCGGAGCGATTTCAGCCCCCGCTCTCCCCCTCGCATTGCTGCACGTCCCAGCCACCCGCCCTCGGAGGGGAAGCGGCAGCAGCTTTCCCTATTTTCTTCCCCTCCGCGAGTCCCTCCGTCTCCCCCCAGCGCAAACCTGGAAGGCTGGGATTGAGCAAGCTGCACGCCCCCTCCTCCTCCCGGCCAAAACCAACAGTCAGGAGCGCTCTTATTACAACACTGGCACTAGCAGTGCTCATTCATTCAAGCCGAGGCGCTCGCAGTATTTATTAGGGGCTCGCAGCCTCTCACTCGCCGTCTTGCCTCTGCTCAAGCCCCGCTTCGGCTCCAGCTCTTTTCAGGAAGCAGCTAGAGAATGCTGCCCCAAGAAATACTTTCTCTTCTTACGCTCTTCTGTGTTTTCAGGGCTTCTGTTTCTGTGCTGGATGAAGACGATGACTATGATCTCATGTATGTGAATCTGGATAATGAAATCGAAGGTCCGGTTCTCGGCACCGAGGAAAGTAAGTATTTAAACTCAATTTGTGTCAATTGCAGTCTTTGTTGCCTAGCTCTTGTAACAGTTATTATTACAAGCATAAATTTATTTTGCTTTTTAGGGGAAGCAGCATGTGCTTACACCACTACACTACGGACAGCAAACGCTAAAGCACTTGGATGATGTGCCTCGGAATTTGCTTTATACTCTTCTTTTACAGTTTTCCTGCAGCAGACTGCTGATGACCCTCAATTTTAGAACTGCTCTAACACACGCTACTTTTCTGGTTTGATATGGAAGGAAACACACTGACGGCCGGGCGCACATAAGCCCTGCACAGAGTCAGATTTTGTCAAACGTTCCTTCTGTTTAAAAATGTAAGTACGAAGGAATAGCAACAGCTGTATCTTCTATTCCAGGTGTTTCGTGCGACCGCCAGCGAGACCACTCCGAGTGGGACAAGCTCTTCATCATGCTCGAGAACTCGCAGATGAAAGAGAACATGATGCTGCAGGCGATGGACGAGGTGCTGAAGGTGGACCTGCAGACCCTGAAAGCAGAGCTGAGCCAGCTCATCACCGGCCTCGCGGGCACCTTCGCCACCGTGGCCGAGAAAGTCACCTCCCACGTCGCGTCACAGGTCGAGCAGGCGCTTGCGAGGAACAGCGAGCGGGCGGAAGAAGCCAAGAAGCTTTACGAGTCTGAGCAAGGGAAGGTTCTCGAGCGCGTTCTCCTGCTGAGCCACAACGTGTCCAGCAGGCTCGGCCGGCTGGAGAGCGCTTGGCTGAGGAGGTCTGAGGCGGAGGCTCAGGAGACAGCTTTTCAGCAGGATAAATTCAGTCCCGCCAGAGGAGACAACCTCCTTTTGAACTCTCTGTGGAAAGAGCTACAGCAAACCAGAGCCGAACTGAAGGTGTCGCAGACATGGGCCGCTCAGCACTTACTGCCAGCAGGTAAGTCCACGCGCGCTGTGCTTTACCGGAGAGCTCTCTTTGGTGGGCCTGCCCAGCAGACATCCCATAAACACCCCTCCTAAGCGTCTGACTCCAAAGCGATCTTGCAAGCAGCACAGCAGCTTTGAGCAGTCCGTAGGTAGAGGGAGGGAACCCATTAACTGTTCTCGGAAAAAGAGGGGCTGAGCTTTTCAAACGTGGGCTGAAAGAAGGGTTTAATCAAAGCCATTACGCCGGGCACAGCCAGCGAGGATCCCACCGCCCCCTGGCTCCCAGGTCGAAACGGTTGCCAGAGAGCAGCAACCGTATTTTAAATGTACAAATTCTATTCTCTCACCTTTTACCTTCCCAGCTGGTAACTCCTCCACACCCGCGCCAGTCACTGAGCTCTCCCCTTCTCCTCGTGCACCTACTCACTCCTTCCTCTTCCTAAACTAAACGTTGTCTCCTCACCGACTCCCACTGCCCGAGAGCAGAGCTGGAGCCGAGGACACGCTGCTGATGTCCCGCAGCAGGGAGGGCACGCTCACTGCACGCAACTGTCAGGACAGAGTATTTCTTTGAGCATGGAAAAATTACTAACACCGTGGTGGGTGTTTTGTTGTTTTGTTTTGGCTGGGCTTTTTTCCGCCCCCCCCTTCCAAAACGTTTGCATAGATCAGCAAGCAAGACGGCCATAGAAAGATGAGCTTATCTTTCAAATTTCACTTCAGTTTTTCTGTACGCTGTAATATGACCCCCCCCCTAAAAGCAGCTACAGCAACTTGGGGATGGCAGAGCAGACCCCCATCTATTTAAAGCGTGGGTGCAAAACTGCAACATGCACAATATAACTACACGGAATGTACTCTGCCTCCCGGAGAGCTAGCACTGCATGTCTTCTAAATGTTGGCCTGTCTTTAAAGACTGTATTTTCCACGAATGTAAGTTACTGCAGCTTAAAAACCCCACAGAAATCTACATCTGCAGAATCCCGTGGGCACGGGCGGGTAGAAGTTAGGGTTGCAGTTACACCAGCCTTGCCAGCGACCCTTAGCAGCACGAGCTCTTACACAGGTGAGCAAGAAGAAACGCTGCTTGGAACTGCTAAAGCAAAGGCAACAACTTACACAAGCTTATTACAACACAAACACAGCGTAACAATAGTTTACATCAAAGCATTCTACAATCTAACGTGAATCTATCCTTTCATGTAGGTCAGGGATTCAGCCTGATAAGTAAATTGCTTTTACTCCTTTATTTATCATAACACTTTAGCAATCTTTGGGGAATAGATCTTAGAGCATATTCCTTCTTTTTTTTTTTTTTTTTTTCCCCAGACACATCAAATCTTGCCTTCCAGAAAGCATGATCTCATTCTTTATCTCTCCTGTAACACAGCCAGCCTCACAGTCAGTTACTCTGCACCAGGTGACAGAAAAAAAAACTCGATCAGCATTAAGGATCCCAGTCTCACCAATGGAAATCCAGATTATTTCCACTGATTCCTACGTGTTTTTATATAAAATGTTCTTTTTTCAGTTTAAAGGCTACATTTTAAGTACTTGCAGAGTCTCTCTGAAAAGTTTTTTTCAAGCAAATTTTTAGCAACTGCCTTTAATTTCTCACATCTTGAATTACTGCCAGCCATGCTCTTGAGGGATTTTCTAATCACACTTTTTGTTCTTCAGTGACGCTGTTTTTAATTTTGCTTAGGCCTTGATAATAAAGCCTGAAAGCTTGCTAATTGAAAGCTTTTTCCACAATAGTGTTCTTAAGTAGCATTTTAAGGAGTATCCCCAACAGTTGCTCACTGACCCTGCTCTTCCTCAAAAGGGTCAACGAAGAAATGTAAAATCTGCTCCAAGCTGAAAGGAAGCAGTCTATGAAATAACACAGCAGCGCAATCCTGGAGGACACAAAGAGTCCTTCATTCGCTGAAGCAGAAATTTCCACACACGTTTTAGGCATCTTAGATCCTCTACCTTGTTTAAACAGGAAATGAACCAGTTTAAATTGTAGAAGGGGGCTGCTTCCCGCCGCCCCGTGTCACCTAGAATATTAAGTTATATACAACTAGGGAACAGTATATAGAACACCAAAAATGGCTTGGGCTTAGCGATCATCAGTTACTTTCCCAAGTTTCATAAATTTCTATTAGCGGTTTTAACTAATCTGATTTCTACAATCAACATATTGATTAATTAGAAAATAACTGGGTTAAAAATAGAAGTTGTCTTCTACATCGCCCACGCTTAATCAGGGCACACGAACGTCCCTGAGCAATAACTCTAAAGGCAGGCTTGGAAAAGGGAGTCGTTATAATAAATACACACAGCTCAGCACGCTTCTGCCAAGACTTAAATGAAAGGGAGAGAGGACTGCCCAAAGTAAAGGGGCTCCTTTTTCTGGGGGACCTGGCAAAAGCCTCCCGGGAGGTGTGGCAGAACAGGAGGCGCCCACCCCGTGGGGAGCCTGGGGGAAGCCCGACTTCCCAAGGCAGCCACCAGGACAGGCAGCAGCAAACCTAAACGTTGCTTTGCGCGGCTCAGCACTGCACAGCACACCACTCCTGCAGCGAGGGAAGAGCCAAAAGCCTTGTTCCTGCAGCCTGATTAGCCCCTAAAGCCCTTACCATAGCGTTCGGCGAATCCATCCATCAGCTCTGCCAGCTTCTTCAGGGCATCCCCCCAGCCCCCCAGATGCGCTGAGCTCTCAGCTTCCCCTTTGAGAAGCCCAGAAGTGAGCACAGGTCCGGGGTCCCAACTGTGCATGTACAAATAGACCCGTTTTTATTCACCTAACAATCTTCTTAACTTTTTCAGGGTGTGAAACAGCAATTCTATTCCCCATGCGTTCGAAAAAGATATTTGGGAGCGTTCACCCAACTGCTGGAATGACCCTTCACTCCTTTACTGCTTGTATCTGGATCAAGGTGACTGAGGCTTTGGACAAAACTATTGTCTTCTCCTACGGAACCAAGTTAAATCCGTATGAAATCCAGCTTTATCTCAGCCGGGAGTCTGCAGTGCTTGTTGTTGGTGGTGACCAGCACAAGTTAGCTGTCAAAAATGTGGTTGTTCCCGGGAAGTGGCTCCATCTCTGCGGTGCCTGGAGCTCGGAGAATGGATCCGCGTCCCTGTGGGTGAAGGGAGAGCTCGCAGCCACCGCCTTGGATGTTGCTGATGCTCACACCGTGCCAGACGGAGGGATTTTGCAGATCGGTCAAGAAAAGAACGGTTGCTGCGTCGGAGGTGGATTTGACGAAGCTTTAGCGTTCTCTGGAAAATTAACAGGCTTTAACATGTGGGACAGAGTGCTCAGCGCCAAAGAGATAGCAGCGCAGAGCGGGGAAGATGCGTGCAGTATCAGGGGCAACATCATCGGGTGGGGAGTCACAGAAGTTCTGCCGTATGGAGGAGCCCAGTATGTTTCTTAAGTTCTGGCGAGGCAGTTTCTGAAGCAGAGAATGTAGTTCATGAAGAGCTGAACACCAGTACTTACAAGTAAACAGAGCCATAGGAGCCCGTGTCTCGAATTCCCAAGGAAGATTAGCATTGAAAGTTTACAAAATTAGGAACTGTGGACATCAGATTTGATCTCTGCCTGCTGTTTTGGCAAAGCATTGGAAAAAAAAAAAAACAAAACAAAACAAAACAAAACAAAAAAAAACAAACCAAAACAAAAACTAACCCAAACCCAAACATATCAAGGCATGACATGGGAAAAGCTGTTCCTGAGGTCAGACGACTGCTGTCTCCCCAGCTTTCTGATGTACAAAGCCAAGTGCCACCGTGGACGTTTCGGAGCCGAGCGGTGCTGAAGCAAACGCGGTGGCTGATCGGTCTCTCGTAAGGCTGTGCATCTTCCAGGCTCCTCCAGCCATTGGTCTTTATACTGCTAATGTGAATTGGACAGAGGAGCCACGTAAACCGAGAAATGTGTTGTTTATTAATCATTGTAGTAACTTGTAGACTATAACAAAACTAGCTCCTTGTTTAAAGCATTATTTATGCCACAGATTGACCTAACATATAAAAGTAATATTCCCTTTCATAATCTGATGTTATATATGGAGAAAACACAGCTGTATTATATTGTAAATTGTCCTTGTAATAATTTTATTGAAATTATTTTTGTAAAGTTGCTCTGTAAATAAAGATCTTTACTAAACTGAATCTTTCCACACTTCTCATGAATAGAAACTCTCAAAGTAGTACCAATTGGGAATTTTTCTATATTTTGAATCACGCTAGTTTAGCTGCTAACAGAAAAAGAACATAAATATCAACATCTCATACAAATGGAGAGACCCTCATAGGACTGAAATCCAAGCGTTAGCCAGAGACAGTTTTAAAGGCCCATCACGATAACGATCCCTCTTGTGAATGCTGCCATGTGCAAGATCTGCCACTCCAGAAGCTGTCCCACGGGGTCACTCATACAGAAAGATGCTTGGACATACTGACACAGGGGTGGTGGCCTGAGGCTCAGCTAACACGGTGCTTGGAGGCTGAAGAAGTAGTTTTGAGATATACCCCCCCCAAAAAAAAAAAAAAAAAAAAAAAAAAAAATCAATCAGTACCTCCTGCATAATGCTGGCCATCTGAGAAGGACATGGTCAGTTTTAAGATATGCTTAGGCATCCAAAGTAACCAACTAGTTTGATGCTAACAGGTTTGTAGAAGGTAGAATTGATGAATATTCAGTGGCAGTGGCTTTCTTCTCTCACGTTCACAAGCTTCTCCAAAATCCAGTAAAACCATAGGGCTGGACACAGTGCATAAGCAGCAGATGCAGAGAGCCAAGACACTGGTGGGGATTCGTGTGTAGAAAACAGAGCAGCAGCGGACAATGATGAATAGTTATTTGCTGGATACGTAACTGTTTATGACAAGAACAATTATTCACTACCTGTTGAAGCCTCTGAACAAGTTATGGTGGAAAATGTCTTGTTCAAAGCAGTTCTTATTTCCACTGGAAGCAGCCCACCCTTCTGTTCTACTCACATGTTTCTGTCTTTCTCATTCTCTACAGATGCCCTAAGAATGCACTCTGAAAAGCCTCTTGACCTGTTGCTGCTATGCTTATTCCCGAGTATGACACAGCTACCAGATCCTTCCAAGATACAAAAGTAGTAAGAAAAAGCTATGACAAGGTAATTTCCACTTTACTATGCCATTCAAGGGGGTTCGTGCTTCATAGCTAAAGTTACATAATCTGCTCCAAAGTTACAGCAATACTGTTTGATAAATAACGGCTTCGATTGCTGGAATTTCTCCTATTACCCTGTAATAAAAATGTAGCCAAATTATAAATGCTTAGTAGTAAACATGACAAAAATCCCTTACTAAATCAGATCCGCAAATAACCTTAACTACAAAACAATGAAAGATTACCTCTGTTCATCTGCTGCCAGCCAGAAAACAGAGCTTCAGAGTTACGAAAAACACTTGAGGTCCCAACATTGTGCAAGGGCAAAACCGCTGTCAAATCCTCTTACCATACAGTGCCCTCCATTAAATGAAAACAAATGTCCGTGAAACACAGCAGATAAAGCAAAATCCTTTTTAAAAAAAAAAAAAAAAAAAAAAAAAAAAAGCGTGCCACAAGTCCTTCCCAGCTACTTTTCTTCCTGTACCTCATACCTGAAATGCTTGGAGTGCCTTGGAAGTAGCTTCTTCCTATCTCTGTTCTGGTTTGGCACAAATGCAAAGCCAGGCCTTCCCTTCTCACTGACTCAGCTGGAAAACTCGCCGCTTTCCAACCGCTTTGCTCTTCCTTTATCACACCTGTGGACTAGCAAAGCTTTCCCACAGCCCAGTCCCCTCCTGCCCAGCACCACAACTCACCTCCATCAACACATTTCTCTTTCCTTCCTAGCTTACCTACATTTTTCTTTCGACAGTTGGTTTTCCTGTTTGGAAAACACCAAGTAAATAGTATTTGGGGGGAGTTTGGGCTCCAAATACGGGAAAAGCCACTGCAACCCTGCTGTTGCACTGCAAATCTAGAACTGAAGGAGCACGCACGAGACATGCGTGCCTGGAGTATGTTTCTGTGCCCAGTTGCTCTCTCCAACAAGCCTCTGCGGAAGGCAGCACCTGCATCCCTTGCCTGAGCTCCTCTAGAAGGTGGAGCAGCCGTGGGATCCTCAGATCAGCGCGATGACTGCAGGGTTTTGCTGCTGCACCCTGGAAAGAGGAATGAATCTGCCCGATCCCTCACGCTGGGGGAAGGTGTCAGCACAGGCCCTTTCAGCATTGCAGCACCGTACAGGCATTTGCATGTTTAGAAGCTGAGTTCGCACCAACTGGAACAGAGTAGTTAAACACTCTTTTTAAAGAGCTCTTTTTTAGCTAATAAGATAAGAAACCAATTATGCAGCCAAACAGTTGCCCAAAGGAATAAAAAAAAAATCCAGTTAGCTCCCAAACACTCGCAGGCAGCGGGCCAGAGTCTCCTATCAGTCTCACTGGTGCCATGAGGCTGAGCCCTGTCTGTGCAGCACCCCAACAAGGCCCTTTGTCTCCACGCTGCTTTGTAAATACATCCCGAGCAGCTTATCCTCTTGCTTCCCTTCTCCCTTCAGCAAACAGTCTTTAAGCACTGTTCCTAGCCTGCTGCAAACCAACCTCTGCATGTCTGAAATACAAATTACACACGGTGCAATTAAACCACTATGCAAAACAAAGCACTTTGCCTATTCAGAGTGCCCTCTTCCAGGCTGGAATTTCCAAACCTGATGTCCACAGCAACATCTGCTGGTAGAATAACATAAATACACAAAACCGAGCAGGCACAAGCACGATGAAACCTTCAGCTGTGGGTATGTATCACTTTTCCCAAACCTATGACTATACCATAAAACCTGTTTCACTCTGCTTCTTTCTATTAATAGAGTTACAAGTGGTAATGCACAATGTTAACACATAAATAGTGTCACAAGTCTTAAAATAATTATCCATGTGGCCTTGTAAGTTGTTAAAAATATTCTGTTCTTGGACTCTACTCAGTTGCTATTATCACATAGCTCATACATATTTATTATGTTTATCACACATCTGTCCTTAAAGCAGACAGAAATATGCAAGCTCTTAGCATAATGCCTTAAGGACAAAACTACTTTCTAGCTTAGCTATTACTACATAATAGACTCCATTTATATTTTAAAATAAATACAGAATGCACACATTTCATTTGAGGGCTTAACATCTTCATAACAATGTTCTTGGAATAATTAGACAGCTCTTGCTACTTACTGCTATTACCCATACTTGAAGAAAAACAAACAGTGATTTTACTACTGCAGTGGCACTACACTGCAACAAATACTGTGAACTTTACTACTTCAACTAAACTGGACTTCCTTTTGTAGAGGTCTGAATATTTTGGCTTTTTAAACCACAAGAGTAAAATGTACAGAGGTTAGCAACAATACTCTGTGTAAAGCTAATAATGTAGGCAAAATTAAAGAACCACTACAAAGCTTTTATATCTTACATCTGACTATTTTGCCACAGAATGGGATTCATTTCATCCCCATTTATATTTTGGAGTATTGCCAACGACACTAATAGAAGGGATAAGAGGCCAGTAACTAGTGTCTCATATCATGGCTTACAATTTGAAGTCCATTAGTACAATATACGAACAAGTACAAATGTATTTCCTGCCCTCTGTGTCATCCAATCTATAATGACACTTCCATAGTCAACACGGTTCAGTAAATTCACATTTTCAGTAAATTCACAACTCATATTCTTGAAAGGTCTTCCTTGATACGGTCTGTTATTAGACTGTGTCTAACACATTTTATGTACATATCTAGAAACGCGATACGTCTGGTTTATACATACATGCCTCATACATGTTTTTATGTATAACTCGTTTGCTTGCATACACGCCTAATACAGCCTAACTAACCTAATGGTGGGCACACTGCAGGACTAAATCCAAAAATCTCAGCCCGTTCATACCTTGAAGGACACTTTTGACAATGGTGTCTGTGTGATCAGCCAGCAGATCTGCTTTAGCGATTGCAGCCAAGGATAGATAACTTGACATGTTTCTGCACAGTTCCTTAGGGCCCCTCTGAAGAAATTTCACTGCCACTGGAACAGCTAAGGCCATTACTGGAGGTCGATTGTAATTCTGTAAAAACATGAACAAGCACTGAAAAATAAGCAGCTGGGAAAAAATGATTAAAATAAGTTTCATGCTGATCAGAGTAGAAAAACAAAGCAAAACAAAAAAATTAAAACAGCAGAGGAAAAAAGGAAAAAACATCAAGAAAGGTTATGTTTTGGTAACACCACCAAAAGCAGACTTCAAAGAAAGTGCAAATAGAGAAATTTAAGTCTACTGCATCAGGAAATGCTAATAACACACCTATTCTGCAAGAGGAGGAGAAAACATGATATGAAGTGTACTAGTTAGAAGTGTTATAGCAGTTAACGCTTAACAAGACATTTTGTGTTTGGTGCTCTCTGAGAAGACAGCAGAAGCTGTATCCATCATCCACACAGAGTAAGTCATTTTCCTCCCAAAGCGTAGGAGACACCTTGGAGCAGTCGCTCATGCTCTTGACTGTTAAATATTGCTCCCTGCAGTAAGAGAGGCATTGCTGCCTTCCGCTCTGGCCTCGCAGCAGCCTGCCCCAGTCAAATAATTTCAAGGGCGGGTAAATCTTCCCCAGCACGAGTCACAGCTTCCCTCACCTAAACCAGAGGGTGCTGCTACTCCGAGTCGTGGCCTACCTTTGTGCTGGCAGAGACCATGAGAAGAAAGGACTCCTCTGCTCCCAGAAGAAGACCTCATGCTAAACCACTAGGACTGTATCAAAGGCAAACTGGTCAAATGAGGAAAAAGATAGCGCAGTTACTCGTGCGTAGGGAGACTTGTTCACTGGGTAATAGCCTTAGAATTGATCATCAATTGTCCAGTAATAATTAAGATTTCCTTTTTAAAACTCCAGCCAGTTTCTCTGAACGCCAGGGTCAACTGAATTTTTTCGGGACCGCTAACTTCTGTTTTCAAAATGGCACCGAGCTTCCGCAATCTCAGGGGTATCTGCACATGCACTTAGGTTTCGACATTAAGGTCAGAAAAGGTTTCCTGCAACTATTTGTATACGTGAAATTGTGTGCACAGGCTAGACACATCAACTGCCCAGTAAGCTCCCATACCTAACTGCCCTTGAAACTAGTAGGATATGTTTATGTGTAACTGAGGACCTACATTCTCTCTGGAGCCTCCTTATTCAGTGGTTTTTTTTTTTCCTCTTCACCCAGTTTTGAACATCTCTTTGAAACTGGAGTACCTCACTGGTTTTGAAAATAATCCTGCAATATGATTATATTTAATTAGCACCTGAAATCACAGGCAACCACTGGAACCCAGATGTTTCAGAAGGCAACAAAACAGTGCGAAGAAAGGCAGTCCAGACTTAACACATGATCATTCTGGAGCATCACTGAGAAAGTAAGTTTAGACCTGAGAAAAAACAAATCTGATATTCCATAAACTCTGTTATGTTGCCTCCTAGGCCAGCTCTGCCTCCATCAGCAGTAACTGCCTTTGCCATCAGCCTCACGGAGAGCAGGACTAACCCTAATTACGGCTGCACTGTGCTATTTAACCAACCCAAGAGCCAAGTTTAAGTGGCTGTGAGGATTTTACCTTGCAAGAGAGACCTGCCAAGCAGTGGAGTGCTGCAGCCACTTCTGCTTGGACCCTCAGGACTAGCAACTCCTAGGTGTCGAGATAGCTCATCGGGGTAACTGCCATATGACCAAAAATTGCATCTTTAATGAAAAAAAGCCCTTACAAATAGAGCTTTATGTGGCAGCATGTTTAAATCAACCTAATGCCTCATTATATTTGGCAGAAAGGCACTACTGAGTAGGAGCCAAATTCTGCCTCCAAGTTATACTCTAGGACTCCATGCAGAAAGAACAGGAAGATAAGGTTTGGCCCTCTGACTAGGTTTTAAAAGACCCAAGAAAATTCCAAAGAACAATTTCTTTTTTTTTTTTTCTTTTCCTACAATAAAGATAAAATACTTAGTTAAGAAAAGGTTTGAATTCAGATGGGAAGAGAGGGAAGAGAAAGGATTCCTTTGTTATACTATAAATATCAGGGCATGAATGCACACTTATGAAAATGTGAAGGTGACAATGAAAAACAGATTTCAATAATATGATATAGTGATGTTTGCAAACCTAGGGGAACTCCCTGCTGCTAATATCAACAGGGACATGTTGTGAGATTCAACCCAGCTGTCAGATATTCATTACTACTTCAACTATGCCTCACGTATTGTATAAAAAACTCATTTTATGCCTTCTTTTATTATGCAAAGAAACTCGCTGATAATAGCTCTGTTTCAGGGAGCAGTGAATGTACCTTTATAACTTTCTCTTTTCATTTCAATGAACTCCTTTCTTGAAATCATCTGCAACACAGTGCAACCCCCAAAACATTTGGATATGAGCTAGCCTGATTGAGTCACACAGTTGCCAACAGCACAAACCGAAAGCTTAGACAAGCCACTGCATACTTCAGTATTCTCATGAAATATGATTTCTAGTACTGCAAAGACAAAATGTGATTTTACAATGCACAGTCTGGAAAGTTTAAGCAGTGCTGCTACTGGTAGCCAAACCCAGTTACTGTCTGACCTCCAGGGACAGAAGACACACAGGGAAGGGAGGCAACTCCCCCAGGAACTCGTCGCCTGTCAGAAAGCATGGTCCCTACCAAAGCCAGCCGTTTGCAGAGAAAGGAGGGGACACAACCCCCCCCGATACACCACTGACCTTCACAGGCTGTGTTACGGTGCCCTGCGCTGGGGCGCAGCTTAGGGATGGCGGCTCAGGGCTGCCAGTGTAGAACAAAAGAAGTCTTGCTAAACCTCATCTTCAGTCTCGACCAAATACCTGGCTAGAATAAACTTTTATGGTACCCCAACCAAAAATCAACAAGAACCCAGGCTTCAGAAAAGGAGGTTTTTTCCTTCTTTTAATATTTTGCTATAATACACTTTTTTGTGTGTCTTCAGAGTGACAGATGAGGTAAACAGAACTGACCATACTAAAGCATTGTAAAGTAAAATTTCACTGAAGCAAATTCGGCATTGGTGTTATTTGTTCTGAAACACATCGCTTCTTTTGGACTTCAAACGCTTTCAGCCAAACCAGATGAGGAATTTCAATAAGTTTATGGAACAATATATCCTACAAGGGGCTAAGCAGTACCTTTCGTGGGACAGTGACATACTTGCGCCACTATCGTTTGAAATTTTATAATGAAAGAATAAAAAAAAAAAAACAAAAACATCCCAGATCTGATTTAAGAGGCAGAGGTAAAGAAGTCAACTGTGAAACAGTGGACAAACTGCACGCATCACCCCAGAGGAGCCCGTACAGAAAGGCACTTCCTAGCAACTATTTCTCCATCTAACACAGAGCTGGTCCTCATGAATTGTAACCACAGCTGAAACTTTGGAGACAACCCTGACTTCTGCTTCCAGGTAGATAACTGTGCACATTCTCTGTGTGTCTCTCTGGTGTACTTTAGTCCTTTCCTAGCAAGGAATGGTATTGCCTGCAGTCCCAGTTAAAAAACAAAACAAAACAAAACCAAAACACACACAACAAAAACCAAACTACAAACAAACAAACAAAAAACACCCTAAACACCCTGATTTAATGCCAGATTCCCCCTTCCCCACCACTTTAAATGGCTTTTCACCCTCAGCTTCCTTTCTTAGAAAGCCTTGGAATTGCCCACTCCTATCCCCACAAGGCTGCTATATACCAAGATATCTTCTTTTTAGCCTTGCGTTCACAGGGAGCAATAGTGCACTGACTACTGAGTTCAAATGCGACCCAATTTCAGCTGTTCTTCTAGCAAATGCTTTCGGAACCTAAACACTTTTCCTATCTTGTTGCTGCCTCTAACATTTAGTACATTCCAAGAAATTATTCCAACACTCCTGGCCAGAGCGTAACTTCTTTCTACTCCTCTAAATAGAGTAGTAGTAATTGGATTGCAGTTCAGAAGTCAGTTTTCTGTGTTGTATCTTTTACAGTCAAAATGTTAAGGGAGATCCTCCTTACCGACAGCATATCTAATAACCTAAATTTCATGTCATTAAAATCTCTTTGGCATTTTGTTGCCTTCCAGAACGATTAGAAAAAATAAGCTCTTCCCTGATATTAAGTGCTTTCAAATGAATCTTTTTATAACATCAGAAAATGATAGTTCTATTTTTCCCACTTTAATATTTACATGAAATGCAAATACTTAGAATTAATGGAGAATTAAAGAAATCTGGCACTAAATAGTCAAGACACTTCTAAAGATAAGGAAGCTGCCAAAACTTTTGATTCACTGCAATGGATGTCGTATACATGTAATAGATATACATTAACATTCGGGGTCATACTCAGTTTCAAACACATGCAAGCACTCCCATGCACCCTCAGAAAACCTAAAGCACAACCACACTTTAAAAGATAAAGCTGAATAGCCAGTGAAGGGGTTACACTCCCCTGCTTCCAGCTCGGTCTCACCTGCAAGATACAGCTCATGATATCGGATGCTATTTTCGCATGCGGTGTGTCCTCATCTTTTCCAGAAGGCTTCAGGTTGTGCTCCAGACACGACTCCCAGAGAGCCACGAGGGCTCTCCCGTGCTTCTCGATGGACGCCGTCTCCCTGATGGCAGTGGTGATGCGAGTGATGCAGATTTCCACCACAGCCTGGTCGTTGTCATTGGTCTGGTAGTCCTGGTTCAAATGAAAGAGACATTTGCCAGTGAATGCCCATCCTTTTCAAGGACCCCACAAAATTAGCCTGAGGACAGGAAGTTTTTGTAGCTGTCCAGTGTCTATTTTCTCACTTCTCTCTTTACAACAAAGATTTAGTGCTATTAAACGCCAAAACCACTCATCCCACAGACACTTCACTAGTTTAGGTCTTAATTCTTGTTATTGTAAAGGTATGGATTATGTAATCAAATTATTTTTTGGTAGTCTGTCTTGAAGCATGGCCTTCTTGACCAAGGATTGCAGCCTTCAAACCACTCACACAGGCCTCTTCTCCCATAACCATCCTAAAACTGGAATTGTTATATCCACAATATATATACCCAAATGCAGGGTTGCAGATATTTCACATCACGTCGAGTCCCTGATGTAAACACAGTTAGTTCCAATTAGTATCAGTGTAACATGAATAAAAGTGAATTAAATAGGCGCTCTCACAAAATCCTGTAATCCCCCATAATCACCACCACAGATGCCACGTGGATATGAAGTGGCAGCGCTTCGCAATAACTAAAAGACGACACAATCACAGTCCCTCAGTCCCCTATGCTGTTCCACCCTAAAAAATGATGAAGATAAAGACAGACTGTGCTATTAACCAAAAGTCATTGTTTTGCCCAGATAAAGCGTGCTCATTTTTAAAGGGCTGGAGCCAAGTTCAGCACCAGGCTGCAGAAGCCCAGCTCCAGAGTCAGCTCCGGGGGCTCCGCGCTGCAGCGTATCATGACGGTGTATCGCGGGCAGAAGCCACGACTTTGGGGTCTGTCTCCAAGCAATTCTCTGCCTTTATCCACAGCTAGCCCCCTACAAGCTTTGCTTGGCGTGACAGAAAAACCAACGCACTTAATAAACAAACAAAATAAGAAAACACACTTTTTCTTCTGTAGGTTACCCACTGATAAAGAGGTGAGCAAGGTAACAGCCGCTGGCTGGGACAGCACAAGGGCAAAGGAGTCACAGTCCTGGGTGGACACGGAGAGCAGAGCAGTCCTGCCCATGCTGCTGTGAAACTCCTCGCATTTGGGGAAAGCCCTCTGTCCAAGGCAGCCCACTCGGGGTCACACCGGAGCGGGTCCCCAATCTCCAGAAGTGGGTCCCCAATCTCTGGACCCCTCCGGCAGGAGCCTCCGCTCAGCAGCTCCAAGGTAGGGAGCATCTCTGCAGGATGCTTCAGCTGCTTCGCTCACACTGGCATGTTCCTAAAAAAATTTCATAGCAAATTCAGGCATTTTTTTTTCTCAAAAAGCATATTAGAGGGAATGTGTGTAAAATTCCTGATAACTTGCAGGTAGGTGAGTTAAACAGTATGTCAAACAGCAGAGGCAATGGCCAAAATAACTCAATTAATATTCTGAAAGACTGTGCAGATGTAATTGTTGTCAAAGAAGCGCCTGAGGAGCCTGTGTCCTGATAGACGAGTCCGTTCTTGGTGCAATCAGCAATGCCGTGGTCAAGGCTCTGAGAGTCAGAGGTTTGCACATTGCCAAAACCAATTTCCAAAGTCACGTGCTGTATGAGGTGCCACAAAAGTGCAGCTGTGAGAACACGAACGCGTGTTGCTAACTGAATATCCCAAGGCTCAAAAGAGATCTTCCTTCCCTTCAGCAGACTGGAAGCAGGAAGGATAGGGAGATTTTTTTTTTTTTTGGACAACACTTTAAAAGAGTTTACCAAAAATCCATGAGCCTACCATCATTAAGAACACTTTCTGCTCCAAACAGAACACGCACTATACATACAGTGTACCTGTAACCTCCTGTTAATCTTTAATATGCCTTAAAGAACTATTTAATAAACCCTATGATAAAGATGAACTTGAAATATCTTTAAAGGAAATCCAGCAAGTGGGAATTTGATTCGGTTACCACATTTTGAAATCTTACACTTTGCTCGACATTCTTGAGTTTTTTAGAAACTTAAATTGTGTATGTCCCTGCTTTTTTTTTTTTTTATTTATACAATGTATTTAAATTCACGAAAAACAATTAAGGACAGTGTTTCACTTACCGCAGATGAACTAATTATTCTTATTTGTTCAAGAGCTTCTGAGAGGCTTCCTTCGATTTCAGCATCCTCTAAGGAAAAGAGATCCCCTGCACGTGAAAGGTCTTTTTGTGCCAAAACCAGCCCAAAAAGATGATGCATGGCTGCGTTCACTGCCGCTCGGCCAGACCCCTGCGTGCACCATGTGCATGAACGACTCAGATGAGGACAGAATGGAAACAATCCTGTGGACTAGCGATCAATTTAACACGAGGAAAAAATTTGAGGCATATTTCAAGACTTCCTTGGCCCCAATCTAAAAGGAAAATTAAAAAAAAAAAATAAAAAGGGGGAAAAATTAGCAAATATATTGACCATCATATTCCATCTTAGCAAATATTTTTAAGGGGTGTGTGTAAGGAGTGTACAGGATCCCCTGATCCAGGGGCATCCTTCAGAACATACCATGAACTGAGTGTTGAAGGACCTTTGGCCCTCAAACACTAAAACAGCTTATAATTAGCTAAACAATGCATAACTTTTAATGAAAAAAACCTTGGTTTTATTTATTTCAACGCATATTACCTGGGCAGGATGGTGACTAGACTAATTGATAAGGATTACAAACCGCCTTCCCTTGGTCAGTAGCAGAGCGGAGCTAGAGGAGGCGGGGGAAGCCGCTTTGTTTTCTGAGTTGTTGTGTCTTGACTTCAAAAATACACTATTAGCAAGATTGTGAAGATAATGACTTCTGTTTAGAAAAAACAGTCAGTTCCGTTGCCAAAATGATCCCTGCAGCCTTTTCAACTCATGTAAAACAAACACTTGGCTGAGCTGAAACTATGCACTTCTTGGCTGAGGAATTTAACAGAAGCTGAGCCAAGTGGGGCCGGGCTCAGCACCACGCCCACACTCGTGGAAGAGGACAGTCCTGTACTTGTGCCCCAAAACTCTGGTGTTTAAAGCATCTGCAGAGGAGACATTTGCCTTTTATAGAAGTCCTTTTTTTTTTTTTTCCTCCACATTTCAAAAGTGCTATTTGTCATTCCAAGACTGCCAGGACTTGCCTCGTGCCGATGGGTCCCCTCTGCTCATACACCTTTGAAGCGAGGGTCTTCATGGCCAACCTCAGTGCACATGAGAAGGGCACCAGCAGCACAGGGTCCTTCAAGCCCAGAACATCCCATGGGGCTTGGATACCCTTCTTGGACTTCACCGAGGCAGATCCAAATCCATGCAGGCAGAAGGTATCTGTCCTTGAGCCTTCCAAGGGTCTCCACAACAGCCCTACCAGTAGGAACAGGACAAGGGTCCTGCCTCCCCCAGCTCCTGATGGTACTACTTTTCTTCCATCCTTTCCCACCAACAATAATTTGCCATGACAAAGAAACCCAGCAAGCCACAATTTCTCAGCCACAAAGACCACCTCTAAGTGTGGGGCCCTCCACGGGCTGCTGGTGCTTCAGGCAGAGCTGCAAGGGAATTGGGGAGGTAGGAGAGCCAGAGGACAGTCACCAGCACTCATAGCAGCCACGCTGGCCAGAGGGGCTCAGTAAGCTCAGACCGACACAAAAGGGAAGGTTTCAAACAGCAATGCCTCTGTGCCCCAGGGAAGCTGCTGCACAGCTCTGTGACCTCACCCCAGACAAGCTCTGCTCTTCAGTCACCTTCAAGCTCCCTTTAAACTGCATCTGGGCTAGCCAGTCTTTTAGTATACAAGCAATTATTCTCACTCCTTCAACACCAACATCTTCCACATCATCAATATCTTCTCAATAATGAGGCGTGCGGAGATAAACACAGCATCAATCAGAGAAACTGCCAAGTGGGCTGTTAGTTGCTGTTTTGCGAATCAAAATGTCTTTCTGAATTGAAGTAAACGTACCTAAATGTAAAGAACATACATATATACACGTATTTATGTGTTTCTCCTTTACTTTTAGGTATGCAATAATCCAAAGTTTCAGGTTAGCCACTAGTGGCTGTCTTTGCAGGAATACAACACACACGACTAACTAGCTGGCAAAATTATGCCATTAAGGTAGGCATACACTAAATATGATGCAAGAGTCTGAGTGAGCTGCAAATGCCACGCACTGGAAAAGCAGTTGCTAGAACTGGATCACTCTGCCTTTGTTTGCTCACATCACTTAAATGACTTTGTGTTTCCAACGAGTAAAATTTCCCTGTATCTTTATATAGAGGAAAGAGAAATGTTTGAGAAGATTTTACATACGTTACCTGAAGTAAAATACAGGGGAAAAGGGAATCTTACGAAAAGCATTTGTAATCTGGACGGAGCGATGAAGAGGCTGGGTAAAAGTGACAAATTACAAACGCGACCGCATTTTCCACCCAGGCTTGCCTCAGGTGAACCTGCTACAGCAGCTCACAGCCCCGGCCAGCCCGAGGGCTGGAGCCCAGCGGGGCAGGCAGAGAGCTCGGCCACGGAGCGGGCAGCGGCGGCAGCAAGACCCACAGGCACGCCACAAACCCCGGCAGAGTTCGACACGAGAACACGCATTAAAGTACAAACATCACAGCACAACCAAAAACTTTCCCTCTGGCCTCACTTAGTCAACTGATACAGAATTTTCACGGAGTTTGAGGCTAGGAAGAGAACTACCAAGCACATCTTCCAGGGGGCCCATGCGGATTCACAGCCAGTTCCTCTAGGTTCTTCTCCTGAATTGATGAACCAAGTACTACAGTGTCACAAACTAGATCGCTTCTAATTTTTCTAATTAAGATGCTGAGCACCTTAATCCCTGTGACTCTGTTTTGTGCTATTTTTCAGGAAAAAAAAGGCAAAATGTCAAATAAGGGGCAAAACCAATGCTGAGAACCTTCTGGAAATAATGAAACCACCTTTATTTTAATAGCATAGACAGCACCTTGCACTTGGTCTGCCATAAGCCGATTGTAAGGGGTTATTAATTTTCCCAAATCTATCAATATCGTTACACAGGACTTCTACCTTGATTATTTCCAGCATGACAGAAGCAGAAAAGAGCAAATAAGATTGCAAACCCCAAAGCACAACAGGCTAGATCCTCCTGAAAATGATTATGGCATAAATTGCCAGTCACGGAACTGAAGGGGATGGTGTAAATGCAGAGAAGATTGGGCCCATCGTACTCATACTCTGCAATTCTCAAGTTTAAAAGTAAGAGCTCCAAAAGCCGCAGACACAAGCTGATTTTTTTTTTTTTTTTTTTTTTTTTTACCTGTTCACGATTCCACAGCGACATCCTCAATGATGGTCACAGGTGCAAGGCTTGTGATCTTGGAAACAAAGCCTGACCATCAGCTTTGCTCTCCTGCTACCTACACCCCCCCCCCCCCTTCCAGCGGCAGCATCCGAGGGCACAGCGAGCGGAAAGCCGGGACTCGGGTGGCAAGCAGTGAACCTGAAGCTGTTAATTGCAGTGCCAGGAGCAAGGCATTTCAGGAATGCAGACTAAAGCAGCCTAAAAGTTACCAGCGGCTCCGTCAGGTGACTAAAGGAACCTAAATGCAGAGAGGCCTTATCTCTGAATGAAACGCTCTGTTCCTAGGACAAAATACAAAGCCTACTCCACTTGAGGGCAGTTGTTTTTAATAGAGAAAACAGAACTCTCTGTGTTAGTGGAAAGCTATCCTTCCCTGGGAAGAAGGTAAAAAAACCCTCGGTAAGCTCACACTGTTTGAAAGAAAAAGAACAAGCGAACAAACTTGCTACAGAAAAGATTTTCTGTCCAAAAAAAAAAAAATATATGCTATCATTCTGGAACACTAATACAAAAGAGGGTCTGAAGTTCACTTTGGCTTTTTAACATTACTCTCGTATGTGCAGATTTTGTTGTGCTACTTATAATTTAGAAAAATTCTCTAGGAACGGAGATCCATTTGAACCCTCTTTTTGATGAGCTGCACTGAAACACAGCAGCCCCTTCTTGACCTTTTGAAAATGATATTCCACTCACTGTGCTTCTGCAGCAGAAGAGTTTCTCAGAAATGCCCTGTTCTCTACCTGATGAGCAGATGCTTTTTATGTAAGTTTTACAGACAACACTAAGGACAATATAGAAAAACATTTACCTACTGTAAGCTCTGTGAAATGGAATCACAGCAAATCTTCTTAATAATTGCATTATGTAACAGTGCTGAAAATACTTTTCTTGCATAGATCTTAAAAAGAGAGACCTGTCCCTTAAGTATCTCCTTGCTTACTACAAGACTGTACTGTTTCCTACTAATAGGTAGCTGGCACTGAAAGGAGAGATGTCATACATGTGTCTTCTAAAATGTCCTTTAAAAAAAAAAAAAGGGTCAGGTTAGATGATAAAATTGCTTCAGAGTGTGATTCCTGAGATGTCTCATCACCTTGACCCCATATCACCTACCAGTATCTCCTCATTTAGATAGGACTGAGATTATCTGTCAGACAAAGCAAGGGAAAAGAGGCAAAGGATCTTGCCAAAGTTTGTACCTGCCACGTGGCTCCCCATCGGCCCAGTGTCTGGGGGGGGTCACAGCAGGGATCTGTACCTTCTTATGGTCAAAAGGTGGGAAACAAAGCAGTGACTCCAGCTCTTGTAGCAAGCTTCAACTCATCGTTATGCAGGGGAAAAAAAAAAAAATACTCAGCTTGTAACATAGGCCAATTTCCACTGGTTCGTGGTGGAAGTCCCACATCTAATTCAAAGTTTTGATTCTGATTTTTCAACACCTAGTTTCCCTTTTCATGACAAGCTGAAAGAGCCATACGTTCCCTGGGACCTTGAAGCTGTTCCCCTCCAAGGTGAGTCTCTTAACTTGCTGGAGGCACAGCATTCTTACCAAAGCTCCTTATCAGAAGCAATCAGAATAAAAGCTAGCCTGACAGGTTTCAGAGCTTGAAGCAATTGAATTGGTCTGTTTGCAAAATAATTCCCCCAATAATAGAAGATTAACAATAAAAATTCCATGTAAAAGGGCAGTTGGACCTAAGGGCATCCAAAAGCCAATTGAACTTTGAGCTAAAAGATTGAGTCTTACAGTTTTATCAGGAACTTGGATTCTGCAGAATGACATTAGAAGGACAAAAAAAAAAAAAAAAAAAACCAACACACCCAACACTGTTAAATCAAAGAGGAAGGGGAGAGGATAAAAATTTTTAAATTTACAGTGAAGGAAATTCTACGAGAAATTAGAATAATTTCCTTAAATTTCAAGAGACTTGTAACGTAAGTACAGTTGCACAGATAGTGCTATTCCACTGAAAACAAAAGCGCAACCTTCAAAGAACTGTGCAATAACATTGTTAATCTAGTTCCATGCTAAACGACATAAGTTGAGGAAACCCTCACTATATTTAAGGAATTTTAGGAAACACAGGCCACCTAGAGTTCATGTTCAGTGAACCTGATAGCATCTTCTGGTTTGCTCACTGCAAAACAAGAGGCAATTAAAACCTTATTATACTGGTGAACCAAGTTTGTACAGGAACTTACATACTGCTGCATATTTCAGGATCCGTTCAGCTCTCCCCAAGCCCCATTCTCCTCTGTAACGCTCAGTTTGCGGAGGGCACCAGGCAGGGCTCTCCTCAAACACCACAGCACAGCTCCTGACTGGAGCACTTCCAGCCGGGCTTTCTCGTTCTGTACCGAAGGACCAGGCTACCCCAGGCACCAAAGCTCTCTGACAAATGACAGGTAACGCTCTTCTTCTGAGATATTCAAGAAATCTGAAAGGTAGAAACCGAGCACCCGGTTCAAAAAAGTAACTTTAATTGTCAAGTAAATTACACGGGAGAGGAAGGCGATCTGAGAATTCCTCTAGAAACGGAGAGGCTTGCGTTAAAGGACTGGGAGGCCAGAGGTCTTGTTTACAATGGTCATCTTGGGCAAAGCACAGCCCAATGCTTTTGGCTATTCTATCTATAAAAAGGAAAAAAAAAAAAAAAAAAAAAAAAAAGGAAAAAAAATAATCAATTTCCTTACCTTGCAGACACATTGCCATGCTTAATACACTGGGTTGTATGAAGTGCTTTGGATGCCTTGGATGAAAGACGCTATAGGAAAGCAAAAGCAGAATAGTATTAGTAACTCTTTGCCTTTCAGCACTCAGTGTGCAGACTATAAAATATATGCTGCATGGTACCTCCAGGAATACAACTGTGTATTTCACCAAACAGGGTTTAATATTTAGGACATGGTCCCATAAAAAAAAAAAAAAAGAACAGGACAGCAGCTCTACTAAACCCTGTGGGAGTTCACAATGTTATTCACACATGCATGGACTGAACAAAGCAAGGTTTAGATTTCCATTCTCTCTGGGGGTGGGGACAAATGTTTTCAACAACGGCATATTTAGTTTAATTTTACTTTTCTGTGAGCAGGAGGAAGATTAGAATCATCTTAAAAGCAAACTTTTATTCTGTGCATATGATAGGATTCCCTTCTCTTGAAACCTTCTCCCCCACCTCACAGGAAAAATCTGTTTTGTGGAATTAGGAAAAGTATGTCTCGAACAGTTACAGAAGTCTGTAATATCTCCAAGGCTGCTGGATACTTCCTTCCCCACATACACTCATCAAGGAAAAAAAGAAAGCCTGGATACTTTTCCTGGTTATTTTCAGCCAGAAACTTTCCCAAGAACATTCACATACACAATTTCTGGACAGACTATTGCAAGATATTTTAGAGAACTTTCCCCCTCTGTGTTACAGTAATAATTTGATTTATTTTTACGTTTGAAAAGCATTTACTCTCTAAAATAGAACATTCTTTCAAAACTTTTAAATAAAGTTCTCACATTTTTCAGTGAAAGAAAAGGATTAAAGATTATATTGAAAGAACATCATTTTCACACAGGGTGAATAGACTACAGCAGTTCCCATGGGATCAGCTGCATATATTTAATCTCTTCCCACAAGACAACCATTGTTTCCTACAAGCCCCTCTGTTTTTCTTCTGTCATGACAGGTTTCCACACTTCATGTCGGCTAGAAATCCCATGGATGCTGAGCTGGACCAGATGATGAAACAATAAATTAGGAAGTCTATTGATTAGGCTAAGGTTAAAAATGTTTTTTGTTTTGTTGGGTTTTTTGGGGGGGGAGTTGTTTGGTTTCGGGGGGGGTGGGGGGGGGGTGTTGTGCTAATAAAACACCTTGCTGCAATCCTCCTTGCTGTGAACTGACTTGCTCTCAACATCCAGTTCTTATACACAAGGAAGCAGTAGTCTAATTGGAGACAACTTCAAAATAAGCAGAGGAATTCTACAGCCTCTTTTAGGATCCACCTTTAAGAACTGCAGGGCTATACTACCATCCTCAGTTTGAAGTTCAGTGTTCTTCCTAGACATGTAAACCGACATGTTAATGTTCTCCCCTGCAATAGAGTGGCTTAATGGGTAGGTTTTACAGGTCAGGTGCTGCTTTAAGTGAACCAGATTTCACAGATCTCCAAGAGAATTTAGGCTGCACAGTCCATGTAGAACCCAACTGATGCAGAGTGGGAAGAATGTACTTATAAGTTTGCCAAGTGCTGCTTTTGCAAACGGTTTACAACTTGACCGATTTTTTAATATTTAAACATCTACCTGATAACCTATGTGCTGTCAAAACAGTTTTCTACAATTTTCAGTACATAAGAAATCACAAAGGCTTCTATTTGACTGCTGTTTTGGAACATACCAATACTGTATGTAACACTTCATAACACTTAGCATTTTTTAACATCAGAACGACAGATCTGTAAGAATTCCATTCCTAAATACCTTTGTGATATTAAAATAAATAGACTGCTAATATGGAATGAATTGTTTCATATAACAAACACCAATACCCTCATTGTCATGGCAATGCTGTCAAAAGCTGCTTCTTTTCAAGTGTTGTTTTACGAGCTTTCATACCTGTGACAAATTTTCAAGACTGTAGTGATGTTACAGAAAGAGAACTTGATACAAAATTTTACAAAACGTAGAAGTATGTATTTCTGTCTAAAGAGAGTGAAAAACTAAACAGAACAGAGCACGAGGGACTGCAGGATTGCGTCCCTAAGAATGCCACTCTGGAAATGAAAATTGGACTACGGCAATAAATAAGTGTAAAGTCACTGGACTACAGCAATAAATAAATGTAAAGTCATTGTCCCTCAGAGTCTCCTGAACAGCAGTCACTGATCACTGAACTTCCTAAGGTTCCCACCTGGAAACCCACTCCAGTTTCTCTTCAGCACAAGCTTTAGCAGGGCCAACAGCTTCTCTCACTTGCATTTTCAAAGCTCCGCTAACGTAATGCAATAATCCTGCAGCCCTGGGCACAAAGTGCCTCCTGAGCTCGGGGAGGACAGTGACACCCATTTCTGAGCCCCAGGATGAGCCCAGAGCTCCACAGGATTAACGTACACGCTGTCACACACCACAGTAGGCAGGCACTGCTTTTTCTTTCTGTGGCACTTTAAGGTAACTTACAACGCTTTTCACAACCGTCATTGTAATGCATTTATACATATAATAGCCCCAGTTCCTGCATTCGCAGAAAAACCAGTAACAGTCACACTATTAAAGACTACATTTCCTACGCTCTCAAAAACCTCTTCCATTATTTAACATTTGGATCTGCTACTCAACTTCTTGCCATGCAGTAATTTATTCGCTATTGAAAATGTTACATGAATGCATATTAAGTTAGTTATTCATACCTCTCAGAAGAGAAACCTCTGAAAAACATTAATAATTGAAGGCAAATTGTTGCTCTTTAGAGAAATTCTGATAAAATCCATTACAGTTGTCAGTCCCCCTTCCATCCCCCTGTCTCTGGTATGCAAGGCTGCTGGCTCGGTGCACAGCCTTGTCAAACCAACCGTACAGTCTATTCAGTTACCCTGGAGTTGTCATGTGGAATCAAGCAAACAAATATCTTCTCTCTGTTTTCCCCAACCCCGGCACTCAAAAACAGATCAGAACTAATTCTTCACAAAGCTTAACTTCAGCAGCAGCTTGAGTGAAAATGCTCCGAGCTTGATATGGAATTTGAATTAGTTAAAAGGATTTATCAACAGCCAGTGGTTACATTCAGTTAATTAATAACTTGCTTAAGAGTAACGAGGAAATTTCAGAAGTTAATATTACTTATGGGGCCTCTGCTCAGAAGTCGGTGAGAAGGCTGGACCCTTTTAGTGTCTTTGGAGGAAACATTAGCCAAAAGAAACATCAGGAAAGGGCAGGACGCTGGAGAAAATGCATTCTTTGGGTTGACACCTGTTGCATCTCACCAAATCGTAGCACTTCAGCCAGCCTTTCAAAAACATAACTGCCCAGGTGGAACCAGTGCCCCAGACCTGCCTGAACACCTCCGCAGCTTGGCAGCCGTGGCGGAGAAAGGATTTCCAAATCATTCCGGCAACACTGTGCGCAAGCAGAACGTGCTTTCCTTCCACATTAAGCACGCCCGCGTACTCCCTCCCTTAACTTTCCTTTGATAAAGAAATCCCCGATTCCCAACAAATCGGCCATAACTAAAGCCTACCCTACACACAGGCCTGAAAGATCTTGATGGAACGGATACCGGCTATGTCCTCCTCTCCCAAGGGACCACAGGAGCAAACCCACCCCAGGAGTGTCCCAGCACCGACATTTTTCTAATAATTGCCAAAGTAGTATCAAATGAACCAACTCGCAGAACAGCAAAGTGGAAGGTCAAGTACTTTTAGCCAGCTGCTGGAAGAAAAGAAAAAGACTGTTTGCCCAAAGATAAGGAGGCGGCATGTTTGTACCACTCCTGTTAGGGCTTTTGTCCTTTCGTAATACAGAAAGGGTTTATAAATTATATGGTTTAAAAAAAAAAATCTGCTCCCTAGAATACACGTTCAGTTATGCAAGTCCTCAATTTTGATGGCAAATCCTCCAATCAGCTTCTTTTGCTGCTGTTCATTGCACCGTGGCCTCTCCAACCAAATAATGAATTAATGGTGGGTGAACACATACTTTTAACGATGTTAAAAAAGTCATGGAAAACGCAATTGTGTGTTCTCTACATCTTCTTTTTAACTTAGTATGCATACTACGAACACAGCTTGCTTCTCTCCCACCTACCTCTACCAGACTAAAAAACTTGCAGGCTGATAGCAGAACACTGTCACTCCAAAAATTGTTTTCCAAACAAGAGATTTTTTAAAAAAAAAAAAAAAGTTTCAAAAGGCAGTGTGGATTAACTAGGAGAGCATAAACAAGGGTCTTGGATTTTACTTCTGCATCCAATAACTACTTAAGTCATTGTACAGTAAGAATTAAGCGGTTGATTCCTTCACTCACCGTGAGCCTACCTGTGACTTCTTATAGCAACCAAAGTAACATTTCCCCCTCAGTGTCTGACAATTTTTAATTTTTCACGTGGAAGGAAAAGTAGAACCACAAGCTGGTTTCGTACTTACGCAAACACAACTACAGCTGTAGCTAATGACAATCCTCTAAAGATTTACACAGAAAACCTTTCCTGACAACTACATTGAAAGGATGAGACCAGTGTTGATTGTCTTCTCAGACAACCCGTTTTCTTAATGTCACAAAGTGGACAGTAGAAAGGAGTTCCTCTCGCTCTGAAGTGAATGGACTCCACTCCCAGAATCATCTGTACACTCAGTAAGAAAAC